TCGCACTTGCTCAGATCGCCTTTCTTTGGTATCTTGATGAGAAGTCCTTCTTTCCAGTCTGTTGGTACATGTTCTTCGTCCCAAATCTTACCGAAGAGGATGTGGAGTATCTTGGCAGTTGCTGTTACATTTGCTTTCAGTGCCTCTGCCGGGATGTTGTCTGGTCCCGCTGCTTTGCCACTCTTGATTTGTCTAATGGCCATGCTGATCTCTTCAATTGTTGGTGGGCCAATATCGATTGGGAGGTCTGTGGGTGCTGCTTCGATGTTGGGTGGGTTCAGTGGAGCTGGTCGATTCAAGAGTTCTTTGACGTGTTCTACCCACCTGTTTCGTTGTTCTTCAATATCGTTGATTACTTTGCCTTCCTTGTTTTTCACTGGTCTTTCTGGTTGACGGTAATTTCCAGCAAGTTTCTTTGTTGTATCATACAGTTGTCTCATGTTTCCCTCTCTTGCAGCCTTTTCCGCTGTCATCGCTAAATCTTCCACATATTTACGTTTGTCGGTCCTGATGCTCCTCTTCACTTGCTTGTTTGCCTCTGTGTATTCGGCTTGTGCCTTGGCTTTTTCTGCTCTTGTTCGGCTGATATTGATTGCTACCTTCTTGTTCCTCCTTGCTTCAATTTTATCCAGTGTACCAACAGTGATCCATTCCTTGTGATGGTGCTTCTTTTGGCCCAGAACCTCCTGACATGTTGAAACGATTGCCTCCTTGATACCTTTCCAGCTGCTCTCTATGGTGGTTCCCTCTTCATTGAGTAGGTTATGAAAGGCCTGGAACCTGTTGCTGAGGGCTATGTTAAATTCGTTGAGTTTGTCAGCATCTCGAAGAAAGGCCGTGTTAAACTTTTGTGATGTTGTCCGCGCCATTGTCCAGTGCTTCTTGAGTTTTAGTTTCATCTTGGCGACCAGCAAATGGTGATCGGATGCTATATCAGCTCCTCTCCTGATTCTCACATCCTCCATCGTCCTCCTGAACTTTTTGTTGATGCAGACATGGTCGATTTGATTCTGTGTAGTGTGATCCGGTGAAATCCAAGTGGCTTTGTGTATGTTTTTGTGTGGGAATATGGTGCCACCTATGACCAGTTTATTGAAGGCACATAGGTTTGCAAATCTCTCACCGTTTTCGTTCCTTCCTCCCAGTCCATGTTGTCCCATGACGTCTTCGTATCCAGTGTTGTCCTTTCCAACCTTGGCATTGAAATCTCCCATTAGAATGGTCAGGTCCTTGGTTGGGCACTTCTCAAAGATTGACTGCAGCCTATCGTAGAATTGGTCTTTAGCGTCTTCATCGTAGTCGTTGGTCGGCGCATAGCATTGGATGATGTTCATTGTAATGCCCTCTCTCTTTGTTCTGAAGGAGGCTTTGATGATCCTCGGTCCATGAGATTCCCATCCTATAAGTGCATTTTGTGCTTTTCTAGACAGCATCAGTGCCACTCCTTGTGTATGTGGGGCATTTTCTTCTTCATGACCGGAGTATAACAGAAGTTCCCCTGAAGACAGTCGTTGTTGTCCAACCTGCGTCCAATGTGTTTCACTGATTCCAAGCACTTCCAGGTTGTATTTCCTCATTTCCGCAGAAATTTGGAAGACTCTGCCGGTCTCCCACATTGTCCGGACATTCCATGTACCTATAAAAATTGTCGCTCTGGTTGTAAGAAGGTGCATCGGCCTCATGACTTCCGAAGAAACTCGGCTTTCATCATGAGACGTCATTTTTCCTTCTACTCCCAGGGCAGAGTTTGAATGGTTTGAATGAATTTTTCTGGTTAGCGTTTTTTTAGCGAGTTGATTTTCTACGGGATGGGGTCGCTAACCCCATGCCCAACCCTCCTCCTTTACCCGGGCTTGGGACCGGCAGTAGCCCCTGGAGGAGCTACAGGCGGAGTTATATGTCGTTAATGGATTGGCTGAAATAGGATGTTGATTTAACATACGCTTACATCCGTAAATACCTATGATTTTCTGTACAAGATCGAACCTTGCAGTAAATTGTTTCTCTCATACTCGTGTCTTCTCTCTGGTGTTCAAGTCGCTGAGCAGTTCTAGCCTGGGGCCATCAGAATAGCTTAGGATCTGAATATAGCATTCAACCTACAAGACGTATCACTTTACCAATATTTAGTTGAGCTGATGAGATTTATTAGACGGATTTCATTCGGCTATTATTGTTATTATTAAATAACGTATACTTGCTAAGTATTTATGATGATCTAGTCAAAACTAATAATTTTTTTCAGAATTTTTCATTCGCTAGTAAAACAGACAAAACGAGCTACATGCAGAGAATCATTCTTTCTACCCATATAGATACCGGAAACATTTTATACCAAGACCTAACACCGTGAGGGCGTTCTTCCACTTAATTTGATATTCAAGTGCACAAGATGGTTGGATACGGATATCTGAATTGCGAGTTTTGTATACGTTATTTAATAATACGTCCCTTTCGTCAAAATTACCGAATACCAACTTCAAAGTCCTTCTTGGTTTGGTTTCGCTTTCAACCTACCTACCGAGTCTTATAACTCTGGTGATATGTACCTGTGAAACCTTTTCAGGCAGCAAATTTCTGATGACAGATTCCACTGCCTCCAGATAGTATGCATGCCTTTTAGCAGTTTTATTGTCTTCCGACTCCTCTGGATTCTGAGTAATTAGGCTAGGAATGGATTTACCCTCTTTAAAATTCGTATTCAAGGCTTTCGATCATGATGTCGGATCCTGCCTGTTAACTAACGGGTGCTTACCGTGCTTACCGCAGTTATCAACATACGCATGTACGTAGTCAACATCGAGAAAAACGTCATCTGTGGACTTATGGAAAGTCTGGGCAGAATTTCTTGGACCGAAAGGCACTCGCAAAGATTCGTAGAGTCCGAAGGGAGTGATGATAGTGATTTTTGGACTACCGTCAGTAGCCACAGGGATCTAGTTATAAGCTTTAATCAAATCGATTTTCGAAAAGAAAGTTGTACCTACCAGGGTAGCTATCAAATCGTGAATGTGAGACAACGGGCAACGGTCGGAAACGGTTTTTGGATTCAAATGCCGATGGCCACAAATTGAAGGGCCATCACTGCTGTTCTTTTTAAGGACCATGTGCAAGGGAGATGATCATGGGCTGTTTGATGGTCGAATGATTCATAACTCTATCATATGGTCGAATTCGTTTTTAACCAACCTAAGCTTTTTGGGAGCCAGTCGGCGTGCTTTTGAGAATACAGGTGGTCCTGTAGTCGAGATGTGATGTGTAAGATTGCTGGTTACACACGGCAATTTCGGTTGCGGTTAGTATATTCCATAGTGCTTATCGAGTAATGGATGATAGGATGGGTCTATCGTGCGCCTGAAGATAATCTGCAGCTGGAACAAGAAGTTGAGCAAACAGATAACTTAGTGTTTCCTCCGTTTGTACGTGTCGATGAGCAGATTGTGATGTTGTAGGAGGTCTATACCAGTGATTGGCATAGAAACTTCTGCAACAACGAAGATCCAGTGAATGGGTTTGCGTAAATTCATGTTCAGGTAAACGTACCTTTTACCATATGTGGCGATTGGCTTTCCATTCGCCCCCTGTAAGTTCAAAACAAATTCGTGAAGCCCTTTAGTTAGAAGTTGCAGTGTCGACGAGTTAGCGAACTTTCGTCATCGCATCTGTGGCGTATAACAGACGGCTATGTTCGCCGTCTACGGTTACCGTTAACGCGTGCCGGCTGGGAAGTTTCCCGAATTGTTTTTCGTGTCATTCGATTTTGAGTTCGGGTAATTTCAGGGTTTTCTGTAATTGCTGGGAGACTTTCCATACTGGTTAGGATACCAGAACCGGTCAGGGTTACCCTTCTCTTGTTGTCTGGAGACAGATCGTCTACGTGAAGTGCTTCTTTACAGGGTATGTGACCATTAGCGCTCATCACGAAATCTAAGATAACGTGTAAGTGTATGACATAATCCCTAATGTCATTCTGGGTCGTTTGGTGTTTTTCTTTGACTGAAAAAACGTCGGCCTTAGAGGCCTTCGTGATTTCGAGGATGCGGCCGACAGATGCCGTCAGCTCGTCAACGGCGTTGTTTCGAAACGAGACAAGTACTGCTTCCACCTACTGAAGAAGTTTTAACAAGAAAATTTGAAAAACTCCAATTTTGCTCAACTAGAAGTTGAATAGGCGATCATCGAAAGTTCTTTGGCCAATTGCCTCTATCATTCTTTGCAACATATCTATTAATGAACTATATTTCAGATCGATGTTATTAGGGATTTGATCTAACCTTAGTCGATCGATTAGATCTCCGCGTTTTAGAGTCAAACGCTTTAGGGTTTATTAAGGTTCTGAAACATCACTAGTAAACATACAATATGTGACGTACCTGTTGAATTCGCACAGTCGTGCCTTTACAACCGCGAGGAATTCTGAGCGTGAATTAGTCATTCCGTGCTCATAGAAATCAGCCTCTGCGTAGCAGAACCAGGCTTCGATATTTTCTGGCCAAAAGGACATTAGTTGAAACGAAGGTGCGGACATATTCTTTAGCTTAAGTAGTTTGAGTTTCTGTTCCGTCATTGTGAAAAATCAAGTATGAGAATGAACGAAGAATAAAATATCCGAAAACTCGAAAAAAGTCACTGTAGTTAAAATGAAGGAATGATTTATGGAATTCCAAAAAGGAACAGACTCACAGTTTATAGGTTGGTGTACCAGACCACGTTGGGCTCACCAATAAAGATACCACAGGTATTGTAGTTTGATAACACATTACCAGTAACACCTATAATTGAATCGCGCCCACCCAGTGAAATCAAAAGTCAGAAGCGAAGAGGTTGGAAAATATACCTCATAGACCATCAATATACAGAGAAGAGAATGATCTAAACTGGCTAGTGATCGCAGGAGAAATTGAGCACGCCGTTCCAACTCGTGATCTGGTGCGGATGCATGACCAAGCGCCTTTAACTAAGAGAGTCCATTAAAACTAATGTGGTCAGCATCCAGTGTCGAACACTTACAGAGCTATTGATTTCGGGGATTTATTTACCGCTAGTCTCCAACCACTGGTTACGATGGTCATGTGGACATCATCCAGACAGTCAGCACATTATGACGTGGTTCAACTCAATTGTCAATGACTACACGGACTGGTATCACATTTTGGCTTGGTCGCCTCTGGTTTTCTTTCAGCCTCTTCTTACACTAAGTAACGAAGGCGGTGGCTAAGCATACATACAAACCACCTCAGTTGGTGAACATTCACTAACACATCAACTAGCTTGCCACCTTAACTTAGTACTCTGTGCGTAACCCCGACATTGTTTTCTTGATGGTCCAGAAATAAACGGGCGATCCTTCAGAGGCATCTGTGATTGAATGCATAGTCCTGTTTGGTGAAGATGCTGACAAAATGCAGAGTCTTCTGTTAGAACTGAGTAATAATGCCAGGATATTTGGGATGCGTTTCCCCCTATCCAAATGTAAATTGTTACTCCAGGACTGGCCTGCGTCAACACCTGAACTAAGGATAGGGAGTGAAGTAGTCGAACGCGTTGACAACTTCACTTATCTTGGAAGTCTGATCAGTCCTAATGGGTTGGTGTCTGACGAAGTCTGTGCACAGATTCAAAAAGCTCGTTTGGCTTTTGCCAACTTACGTCACCTATGGCGAAGACGAGATATCCGTCTATCAATTAAAGGACGAGTACACTGCGCAGCAGTCCGTTCTGTTCTACTTTACGGCTGCGAAACATGGCCATTAAGGGTAGAAGATACTCGCAAGTTGCTAGTATTTGACCACAGATGTCTTAGAAAAATTGCTCGCATCTGCTGGGATAACCGGGTAAGTAACAGTGAGGTTAGACGCAGGTGATGAATCTTCATCGACTGAGATGGTTGGGCCACGTGTTACGTATGCCTGAACATCGATTACCACGACGCGCAATGTTGACCAGTGTAGGGGATGGTTGGAAGATAGTTAGGGGTGGTCAAACCAAAACGTGCCATCAGTGCTTGAAGTCACTAGCTTCTGGTGTGACCCATGTTAGTAGATGCAGACTACTTGGTTGGGGTCCGCGTGACTATCGTAACCAGTGTTTGAAGACTCTGGTTGACATGGCTCAGAATCGATCACAATGGCGTAGGTGTATACACTCTTTATCTTCCCTTAAACCTTGAGATTAAAATTGCTTCATAACTTTTTTCCTTCCTATACTATATCTTTATATACAACCTTTCTTTATATATTACCACCACTAAATTAATTACTTCTATGAACCCGGTGTTCATCTTGTTGTGCTAACGAGGTATGGCAACTTGGACCGATGCATATATGTGCCTGGTCCTACGTTGTAGCTGACTGACTTGGTTGAACGCTCCTAGAAAGAAGCAGAATCCACGAAAATCGAGCAGTCCTTCTTTTGCGAAGTAGCTATATTTTTGACAAGAATTTATCAAATAGCTGTCGTACGTAACCTTTGCATTTTTCTAATCGTAAGCTCTCGTTTCTACTCAGTAATTGCTTTCATTTCATTTTCCGCTCGTAAATTAGTATATTGCTTGGCTATATATCGAAAATACCATTGTCATGTACCTGTTGAGACTTATTATTTAAGACACCATTCAGTAGCCTTCTTAATAAATGCCGTCAGTCGAGTTTAAGAAAGATGATTGTGAGGTCTCATCCAACATTCTGATAACAGATTCGTAAGCATGGGATTGGTCCATAACTCATGTGAAAAATACACTCCAAACTTGTAGTGAGGCATAAGAATTAGAGATTCGTTCTAAAACATACATATCAAACTAGTTGTAAGACTACGTTACCACCAAACAGACGAAAACTGGATACTTCTCCTACATTATATACTTATCACTTTTGTTGCACCACATTCTACTTATTATCAGGATTGAGGAGATTGTAGTAATCTTAATGGTTGAATCCATGAGTCGATCTAAGCTAGACCACCATTGAAAACCTGGAAGCATATGTTTGAACATAACCATTTACTCCAAAAAATTGCATAGATCAAAGTCAAGTAGGAAAATCGGAACTTCGTTACCGCGATGGATCAAGCTCCACAGATACTCTTCATATTTTTCAAAGTAAGCAGTAATAGTTATTCCCCCATATTAATTTCTGTTACATGTTCCCATAGTGAGCGTCCCATAAACTCACTTGAGAATTTTCAACGTCAATATAATCCACGTTTTCCCAGAAATGGAAAAACAGTACAGTACAGTGAGGTTAGACGCAGGTGATGAATCTTCATCGACTGAGATGGTTGGGCCACGTGTTACGTATGCCTGAACATCGATTACCACGACGCGCAATGTTGACCAGTGTAGGGGATGGTTGGAAGATAGTTAGGGGTGGTCAAACCAAAACGTGCCATCAGTGCTTGAAGTCACTAGCTTCTGGTGTGACCCATGTTAGTAGATGCAGACTACTTGGTTGGGGTCCGCGTGACTATCGTAACCAGTGTTTGAAGACTCTGGTTGACATGGCTCAGAATCGATCACAATGGCGTAGGTGTATACACTCTTTATCTTCCCTTAAACCTTGAGATTAAAATTGCTTCATAACTTTTTTCCTTCCTATACTATATCCTTATATACAACCTTTCTTTATATATTACCACCACTAAATTAATTACTTCTATGAACCCGGTGTTCATCTTGTTGTGCTAACGAGGTATGGCAACTTGGACCGATGCATATATGTGCCTGGTCCTACGTTGTAGCTGACTGACTTGGTTGAACGCTCCTAGAAAGAAGCAGAATCCACGAAAATCGAGCAGTCCTTCTTTTGCGAAGTAGCTATATTTTTGACAAGAATTTATCAAATAGCTGTCGTACGTAACCTTTGCATTTTTCTAATCGTAAGCTCTCGTTTCTACTCAGTAATTGCTTTCATTTCATTTTCCGCTCGTAAATTAGTATATTGCTTGGCTATATATCGAAAATACCATTGTCATGTACCTGTTGAGACTTATTATTTAAGACACCATTCAGTAGCCTTCTTAATAAATGCCGTCAGTCGAGTTTAAGAAAGATGATTGTGAGGTCTCATCCAACATTCTGATAACAGATTCGTAAGCATGGGATTGGTCCATAACTCATGTGAAAAATACACTCCAAACTTGTAGTGAGGCATAAGAATTAGAGATTCGTTCTAAAACATACATATCAAACTAGTTGTAAGACTACGTTACCACCAAACAGACGAAAACTGGATACTTCTCCTACATTATATACTTATCACTTTTGTTGCACCACATTCTACTTATTATCAGGATTGAGGAGATTGTAGTAATCTTAATGGTTGAATCCATGAGTCGATCTAAGCTAGACCACCATTGAAAACCTGGAAGCATATGTTTGAACATAACCATTTACTCCAAAAAATTGCATAGATCAAAGTCAAGTAGGAAAATCGGAACTTCGTTACCGCGATGGATCAAGCTCCACAGATACTCTTCATATTTTTCAAAGTAAGCAGTAATAGTTATTCCCCCATATTAATTTCTGTTACATGTTCCCATAGTGAGCGTCCCATAAACTCACTTGAGAATTTTCAACGTCAATATAATCCACGTTTTCCCAGAAATGGAAAAACAGTACAGTACAGTGAGGTTAGACGCAGGTGATGAATCTTCATCGACTGAGATGGTTGGGCCACGTGTTACGTATGCCTGAACATCGATTACCACGACGCGCAATGTTGACCAGTGTAGGGGATGGTTGGAAGATAGTTAGGGGTGGTCAAACCAAAACGTGCCATCAGTGCTTGAAGTCACTAGCTTCTGGTGTGACCCATGTTAGTAGATGCAGACTACTTGGTTGGGGTCCGCGTGACTATCGTAACCAGTGTTTGAAGACTCTGGTTGACATGGCTCAGAATCGATCACAATGGCGTAGGTGTATACACTCTTTATCTTCCCTTAAACCTTGAGATTAAAATTGCTTCATAACTTTTTTCCTTCCTATACTATATCCTTATATACAACCTTTCTTTATATATTACCACCACTAAATTAATTACTTCTATGAACCCGGTGTTCATCTTGTTGTGCTAACGAGGTATGGCAACTTGGACCGATGCATATATGTGCCTGGTCCTACGTTGTAGCTGACTGACTTGGTTGAACGCTCCTAGAAAGAAGCAGAATCCACGAAAATCGAGCAGTCCTTCTTTTGCGAAGTAGCTATATTTTTGACAAGAATTTATCAAATAGCTGTCGTACGTAACCTTTGCATTTTTCTAATCGTAAGCTCTCGTTTCTACTCAGTAATTGCTTTCATTTCATTTTCCGCTCGTAAATTAGTATATTGCTTGGCTATATATCGAAAATACCATTGTCATGTACCTGTTGAGACTTATTATTTAAGACACCATTCAGTAGCCTTCTTAATAAATGCCGTCAGTCGAGTTTAAGAAAGATGATTGTGAGGTCTCATCCAACATTCTGATAACAGATTCGTAAGCATGGGATTGGTCCATAACTCATGTGAAAAATACACTCCAAACTTGTAGTGAGGCATAAGAATTAGAGATTCGTTCTAAAACATACATATCAAACTAGTTGTAAGACTACGTTACCACCAAACAGACGAAAACTGGATACTTCTCCTACATTATATACTTATCACTTTTGTTGCACCACATTCTACTTATTATCAGGATTGAGGAGATTGTAGTAATCTTAATGGTTGAATCCATGAGTCGATCTAAGCTAGACCACCATTGAAAACCTGGAAGCATATGTTTGAACATAACCATTTACTCCAAAAAATTGCATAGATCAAAGTCAAGTAGGAAAATCGGAACTTCGTTACCGCGATGGATCAAGCTCCACAGATACTCTTCATATTTTTCAAAGTAAGCAGTAATAGTTATTCCCCCATATTAATTTCTGTTACATGTTCCCATAGTGAGCGTCCCATAAACTCACTTGAGAATTTTCAACGTCAATATAATCCACGTTTTCCCAGAAATGGAAAAACTGTACGGAATACAGCTTTGTAAATAACCAATACTTTCCAGATAGTAAAGTACAAGTCATTTTAAAATCCACGACTAGTTGTACCACAACACATTATTACTGCACTCCTTTCATCTTGGAAACTGATAACATGAAACTACTATAACGAGGTATTTGCATAAGAGGCATGTATATTCTTCTGTACTCTACATACATTTACGAGACACCATGAATATATACAGTACCCCGATTATTGTTTTAAGCACTCTATATTTTGTTGGCACTTCTTTTATGACATTTCACACAGATACATATAAAAAAGTGTCTCAGAACACTGACGGATAATATGGCTAGAAGGGAGTTTTGAAAATGATAACTGATAGCCATCTGTGCAGTCAGAAATGTGGATAAATTTCTGGAGAAATCAACGTGTTACTGTCAGGTTCTGAGTCATATGAATCCATTTCTGCAACATGGGTACTTAATTGAGCGGTGCATTAAATCCGGTATCCAGCCAATCGACATTTGATGCTTCCACCTCTTGCAGGTGATATGCTTTTATAAGATTATGCGACTAAACCTATTGTTAATGAGTGGAACTGTAAGTTCGATTAGACAATAAGCTTTCGTACACACCAAACTAATCTTTCTTATTTCAGTGGAACTCTTACTAATATAGCTTAACTTTCGCCGACCAGAAGAGCACTTCGAAGAGACTCAGTGGAATATTGCTATTTATTTACGTACTTATATTTTCTAAACAAAAAATATACAAAATGATTGACTTGTTCGTAAACTGATTTTTTACCCTGCCACCAGCTGGTCGATATATTTTGGAATTACAGAAAAGTGGTCATTTGAATTCTGTAGCTTTTTATTACCTACCTTTTTCATAAAACACATAAGCAAAATTGAATTCACTGGACATTAGAATAGCAAATGATATACGTTTGCAAGAGCTGTACACTTTAACAGTAAGTCGAATAAATGCGTACAATATGACAGGCAATTTCGGAAAATAAGAAGAGACAATACATATAGTTAGATGTCAAACAAACAATGAACACAGGATATCATAAACATGACATTCATGTGAATCACGGGAGATTATTTGTATAAAAGGAGACAGGGACAAAGACATTTACAAAAATTATTAAGAAAAAAAAACAGTGACAGAAACCCAGTTAATTAGCAGCTCGCTCCGGTTCTATTAGACCGTTGGCTTTTTTGGATAAATCAACTTCCATTTTTTCTACAAAATCGTTTTTGGACTCCGAACGCTAAAACAAGGAATTATTATTAAGTGACTGATAAAATGTTGAAACGAGCGAGATTCAAGCCAGATAATCAAATCCCAATTTTAATGATAGATGTAACCTAAAAACTCGTATCCTACGATCGTTTATGATTTAAATGACTAATAATTGTGCATAAATACAAGTTTTCAATTTTATCGGAAAGATTAATTTTACTAATAGGCAAGTCGTATTGTTTTCAAGCGTAAGCTTATTTGAGGGATTAGATTAATAATTGACTTTCGGCAACCTTCGCACGCAATTCAGACAATCAAATGAATATCCATAACCAAAAGGAAATATAAGTCTTTATCACCACATACAAACAAGACAGTGACGAGAATCACTATTATTTACAATATGATTAAGCTTTAGGTGGTTTTCGGGCAAATAAGAGATACGAACTTGCTGAAACAAATTACTTTCTACTTTTGTGCTAGAAATAACACATCGAGAACAGTATAAAACGAGCATAAACAACAATTCAAAATGGGTATAGGAATATTGAACTACACTACACTACCCAAACATCTTGAAAGGTACAGAAGCATGCAACATATGGGGATCAGTACATTTATTAGTATCAACCGTATTCATTGTTTAGTTCTAAACACTGGTAAAAACGAGATTCAACACATACTAGCAAGCTACATGTCTAAAAAAGGAATTAATTGACACATTTCAATAGTACGATGGTGGCAGTTAACTAAAAAAGTGGTCTACGATAGGGGGCATAGCTGATTTAAATATCATAAGTAATCATAGGACTCAGTGATGAAAAATTGATTTTACCTTGTCACCAGTAGAATCTGTCTTTTTAGACCCACTTCCTTCTTTACTGTTTGGTTTCGTGGTGGATGAACTGGCATCTTCATCTGTGCGTGCGCGTTTTGGTTGGTCTCGGTGATTTTGAACATCTCGTGAAGCTGATTTGCCTGATCGAAGAGTGGTGCCTCCAAGCCCAGAACCTTCTTCTGGATCGTCGAAAAACTCGTTATTGGGCATGATGGCTTTATCAGCAGCCATAATTGAAATTCTTTTGTCAGGGTCGGCTAAATCTTTTGCAACAGCATCATTTTCGTCAAAATCAACAATGTCATCCGGAATATCTAACGGTCAAGTTACATAATAAATTTTTATAATTGAGTGCTGAATATGATTTAAAAAATGTAGACAAATATTAAATATTGACTGTGAGAATATTTATCCTCTCAAAATGACTTCATCATATGAATAAATCTATCTTAAAGGAACTGAATATTTTATGAGGTTGTAAAAACACGGTTTAGCAAAAATCCCATAAGGTTCCGAATACGATGACGTGAGAAAACAAATCAGATCTAAGTTAACCATAAGTCTAAGGAACGATCGTGAGCAGTGATGGGCAACGAAAGCAAAAGAGATGGAAAAGGCAGCGTCTGTAGGTAACACCAGACAACTTTTCAGACTAATAAAAGAAACCGGAATTAAGAAGTCAAGTGCAAGTGAGACAATCGTCGAAAAAGACGGCGCTCCAATCTGCTCAGTCCAGACGATTAGAACGATGGGTGAGACACTTGAAGCAGTTTAGCTGGACCTCAGCTACTCCATAGCCACCCACTATTTCCAAACAACCAGAATGTAACATTGAAGCTACAGCTAATCTCAAACGAGGAAGAGCAGTTGGTCCAGATGGATTACCTCCAGAGGGTTTTAAGAATGGTGGTTCAATTCCAGAGATTAGGTTGACTAATATTTGACTCTGTAGACCGAGAGGTTCTGTGGCAGTGTCTGTCATTGAAAGGTGTACCTCAGAAGTACATAAATATTGTGAAGGCTCTTTACTCGAACATTACCAATCGAGTGAGAGCGTACGGCAAACCGTCATCTAATTTTACAACCTCAATTGGTGTCCGACAAGATTATCCACTATCCCCACTTATGTTTAACTTCATCATAGAACTACTGATGGAAATAACACTCCACGACTGAGTTTTCAGGAATTGATCGCCAACCAGGAGGTCCGCTTATCGACTTAGAATACACAGATGACATAGTACTGCTTGGTGAAGATACAGTCTTTTGATAGCATTGAGCTACAATGCCAGGATGTTTGGGATGCATCTCACCTCTAAATGCAAATTGTTGCTTCCGGACTAGTCTGCTTCGGTTTGGGCACCCGGGCAGTATCACAGCCCACACACAAATAAATGAAATGATGAATTCTATTGACGATACTATTCTCGCTCATACTAGAAGCAAGACAATTTACACTATTATTATTATTATTATTATTTACTACGTCGTTTTTTCACTCCCTTTATCCCCAAATTGTGTATCCTTCCTTTCCAACTTATGCAGTAGCTCGCCCATGGTGGAAACTCTGTCCTATCTAAACGATCTCCAGTCATTGTCTGGTTGAAAGTGAATGCTTCCACCGATTACGAATACTGAAGCAGTCTTTCTGAAACCATGTACGCCGTTCAAGCTGGCTTCCTTCAACGTTCGCACACTAATGTAGATCGGACAACAGATGGGGCTGGCTATGTCTTTAGAAAGTCTTAATGTTGATGTTTGCTGTCTATCCGAGACCCGTATTCAAGACTCTAGTGAAGTACTACAAATTCGCTCTCCATCTGTCGCTTCGAAAAGCATGTTACACGTGCGCTTATTCGGGGACTCTGTGGCATCTTCGTCCGGTCTTGCAGGCGTTGGTGTTGCACTGAGCGCTAGGGCGGAGGCAGCACTAATCGATTGGATCCCCATTAACAGTCGGTTATGTGCTGTTAGATTAGAAAGTTCCATCAAAGTGAGAAGAAACCGGCGTGAGAAACGGTGTCTTTTCGTCATCTCCGCCTATGCCTCGACAGATTGCAGCCCGGATGCAATCAAGGATGAGTTTTACCATCAGTTAACAGTTCTTCTCCAGAAAGCGCGTTCGACAGATATTGTAGTATTAGCCGGAGACTTGAACGCTCAGGTCGGGCGTCTAGGGACAGAAGAGAGTCGTTTAGGTGGCCGATGGGGACTTGTTGGTTGCAGGACAGATAACGGGGACCGTTTGCTGCAACTGTGCACAGGCCACAACCTGTTTCTGGCCAGCACTAACTTCCGACACAGTCATTGCCGGTGTGCCACCTGGCGTCCTCCCTCTGCATCCCAAGCCTGGACTCAGATTGATCACATCGCGATCAGCTACCGCTGGTGTGGCTGTGTACAGGACTGCCGCTCCTTTTGGAGTACCTATCTGGAGTCTGATCATGCCCTGGTCTGCGCCCATCTCAACTTACTTTTCAGTGGCCGAAGGATTGACCACCACCAACGGATTGATGTTAGTAAACTGGCTGCAACTTCTGTTGCAAGTAAGTATCGAGCTGAGCTAGCCTCTTGGCTAGCTACCACCCCACCGAAAAGTATAGATGAGCATTGGTTGCATCTTCACGACGCCATGAAAATGGCGAGTAAAGTCGCTTGCGGCTTCGCGAAACGTCCCGCTTACAAGTACTGGGTTTCTCCTGGCTCCTTACAACTGATGGAAGCCCGTCGGTCTACTCCGGGTGACCGTGAATATGACCACAAACGAAGGCTGTTACGTAATGAAATCGGGCAAAGCTTGCGTAAGGACCGAGAAGCCTGGTGGTCGGAGCGTGCTAATGAGATGGAAGCAGCAGCTGCATCTGGTAACTGCCGGAAGCCCTTCCAACTCATCCGAGCCACTGGCAGCAAGAAGTCTGGTGTGAGTGAAACAATCTACGAGGATGATGGGATGCCAATCACTAACATCTCTCGACGTCTTGGACGATGGGCGGAATTTTTCGAAAGGGCAGTTCAACTGACCTGCTGCTCCGGCAACATCAAACAGCTTGTCCTGCCCCCCGTGGCCGGTGACGACTGATCCACCAAACGAGGCGGAAGTCCGCAAGGAACTCCAACTCTTGAAACGTTACAAATCACCGGACCCAGATGACTTACCTCTGGCTCTTTTTAAAGATGGTGGTGACTTTCTGGCTAAGGAACTGACGGTGTTGTTTGCGAAGGTTTGGGAGCGAGAAAGTGCACGGATTCAGAAAGATCGTTTGGCTTTTGCCAACTTACGTCACCTATGACGAAGTCGAGATATCCATCTATCAATTAAAGGATGAGTGTATTGCTCATCAGTTCGTTTTGTTGTACTTAACGACTGATAAACGTGGCCATTAAAGGTAGAAGATATTATTAAGTTACTAGTATTTGATCACACATATCTAAGATATATTGCTCATATATGCTAGGATCACTGTGTAAGTAATAGTGAGGTTAGATGCAGGGTTTTTTATTTTATTTAAACACATAAATATTGGTACAAGGAAGCAAAAGATATATATGCGCCGCACAAATCCCATTCGATTTGTGTGAGGGCTGTGGTACTGTCCGGGTGCCCAAACCGAAGCAGGTGGTTTTCTTAGGGGGCCACACCCGGAGCTTTTGGCCTAAATGTCTGATCCACAACGCAGTGGAGCATCGTAAGGAGATGCAATCCCATAGTAGCCGCTGACCAACGATTAATTCATACTTCATTTGTTCCCTCAGGATACTGGAGCCCATGTACACCACTGGTTTGGAATCAGGGTTTTCCAACTCCCCTAGGTGGACTCACCGTGTCAACCGACCCGGTTAAAGCACCGGACATTCGCTTTTCATCCTCCCAATTTCGTAAACAACACCCCCACCACGAGAAGACAGTGAGTAGGACTTCCCTGGCAGAGGCTATATACGCATGGCTATGTGAGAGCATTTCGAGAGGGAGAGCGGAATCTCCCCACTCTCAGCCGTACCAGGGCATTTGGGGGAATGGTAAGTCAGTTGATGAGGTCTTGAATCTTCATCGACTGAGATTGTTGGGCCGCGTGTTACGTACGTCTGAACATCAATTATCACGACGCGCAATGCTGACTGATATTGGAAACAGCTGGGACAAAGTTAGGGGCAACGAAACCAAAATGAAGCATCAGTCCATAAAGTCACTAACTTCTAGTCTGAGCCATGTTGGCAGATGTAGACTACTTGATTGAGGTCATCGCGACTATCGTGACCAACGGATGGAGACTCTAGGTGACATGGTTCAGAATCGATCACAAAGGTGCAGGTGTATAAATTCTTTGTCTTCCCTTAAACCGTGAGATTGCTTTATTTCCACGAACTAATTCTTTCTTCCATTATATCCTTATACGCAATTTTTCTTTTGTATATTACTACCATTGAAGTAACTACTTCTATGAATTTGGTGTTGATATTGTTGTGCTAATGAGGTTTGGTAACTTGAACCGATACATAAATGTGCCTGGTGCTACGTTGCAGCTGGATGACCACAATACTTGTTTTAAGGTTTCGTCATATTTTATCGACCCGTTGTAGGGAAAATTTTTCGCTCCCAGGTATTATACATAGAATGTAATAATAATAAAGTCAATACTCCCACTACTGAGGAAATAGTAATTGACAACGACGTATATATATATATATATATATATATATATATATATTCGCAATTTTAAAATGTGATGAAACGTGATGGATCGGAGCGTTTCTTTACGTTAACAGTTAAAAATCATATCTACAGAAATCAATATCATCACTGTTAATAGTAATGTAAGACAGTCAGTTGGACTTGATCAGTTAGATCTTATTAAGTAGGTAACCAGAGTCATAACAAGGTAGCTGTTGTTTTAATACTACCACTACTTTGAACCTCTGATATGGAAAAAGACGTTAAAACCAACTAGTCCAAAAGACTAGACATCCTAACTAGTTACTTTGAAGAATTAGTCAACTAATCCGATTTTAAATTGGTGGGGAATCAATAAATATTTCAGTACACCTTGAAGAGCAGGAAAGTGCATCTGGTGATAACGGTATGATGTAAATATTTACTAACGGTTGAACATAAGACTTACCTTGCATTTGAACACTGGGACAGTGAGGTATCATTCGTAGATTTTCAAACAGTTTCGTCTTTATATGCTCAAGATATTCATTAGTATTCTGATTAGCCATGTTGCTCGGACTTATATGCAGCTTGAAGTCAGGGCCGAAATACTCATAATAATCATTGTAGGGTAAATCATTGGGGATCTCAGTTGCAAGGGCAATGGATGTTTCATTAGTCCAGCATCTAGCAACATTTCGGATTGTATAACCACCACCTGTAACAAGGAAATAACTTGGACATAAAATATAGTAACTGGAACATAAAATTACATTAATACATGTTCATGACAGAAGCAAAAGATGTGACCTGCTTCTTGGGGATATTAAAATATACTGTTATTTTAGTTCCCGTTCAGTGATCGTCAATAACTATGTATGATGGACAGATTATCACGGCTGCAATCATGGAATTTAACTTGATATGTATTTTGTAGTAAAATTACGAAAAATAGAAAAAACAACACTATGTATACAGAAACGTAAATAAATAAGCAATTACAGAAGCAACCAGATACAAACCTCCTACAAGAAGAAGAGGTAAAGGAAATGAGCGGATAAATTCGACGCATTTTCCATGGCCTTTCAGACTAAGATTGAAACATCCAAGTCGATCACCACATAATGAGTCAGCACCACACTGTAAGACAACGGCTCCGGGTCGAAAAGTTTCCATAACCTAGACAATGTAGAAAACAATAATGAAACATACTTTCGTTACGACAGGCTTAAAAATACGCTCGTAGCAATCATCATCCATCCCGTCTCTCAGTGGACAATTGACAGCGTAATATTTACCGCGACCTGCACCAATATCTTTTAGATCACCAGTTCCGGGAAAATACTCGCCGTACTTGTGGAAACTAACGGTCATCACTCTATCAGTAGTATAGAAAGCTTCCTGTCTGATTAACCAATTAAAGTTTTACTTACTTCAACACCATCACCATGATGAATATCAATATCCACATAAAGAACTCTTTGGTGATATTTCAGAAGTTCTAAAATCCCTATTACAATGTCATTGATGTAGCAGAATCCTGATGCCTCAGATTTCTTTGCATGATGGAGGCCGCCACCCCAGTTAATGGCGATGTCAGTTTGCTGTTTATTCAGTTTGACGGCTGCAGCAATAGAACCACCAGCCGATAACTGGCAAAATTCGAAAAGTCCATCAAAGACAGGACAATCTTCGCCAACATTGAAACGTTGCATTTGTTTATTGAATTCATGCATATTGTCTGGTCTTACATTCTTCAAAAATTTGACATATTCATCGCTGTGAAATCTTGTCATATCTTCGCTGTATGCTTTAGATGGCCTATAAACTTCCATTTTTCTATATAAACCATAGTTAAGAAGAAGATTGTGAGTCATCCTTATGCGATGCGGTTTCATGGGATGTCCCTGACCGTAATAATAATTTCCAATGTCACCTAGAAGTGAAATTTATGGAAAGTACTAATCAATCACAAGTCTGTCAGAAAATCGATTGAGAAAAGGTAGCTTATGAAAGCAGAATTAAATTCTAAACCGCGAAAAACCTAAGCTTTTTAAATGGAGTCTACGGATGTCTTAAAGACGCAAAACTATGTATTTGTATGAATGTGGTCGAACGGCATAGTTACTTATCCAATTACTGCAAGATCTCTGCTTCGTAATCAATCAACTTTTAACAATAACAAAATAATGATTACAGTAAGGAATAAGTTCAGGAAATTACCTTCGATTTAGTCCAGAAACCATCTTACCTACGTTACTACCGAAATCTAACATTAACAGATTTAGTAACTAAGGCCGGAAGTTGCCTTTCAGTGTCCGTAGTTGACGCGACTGCCCCCGAATGCCCTGGTACGGCTGAGAGTGGGGAGATTCCGCTCTCCCTCTTGAAATGCTCTCACATAGCCATGCGTATATAGCCTCTGCCAGGGAAGTCCTACTCACTGTCTTCTCGTGGTGGGGGTGTTGTTTACGAAATTGGGAGGATGAAAAGCGAATGTCCGGTGCTTTAACCGGGTCGGTTGACACGGTGAGTCCACCTAGGGGAGTTGGAAAACCCTGATTCCAAACCAGTGGTGTACATGGGCTCCAGTATCCTGAGGGAACAAATGAAGTATGAATTAATCGTTGGTCAGCGGCTACTATGGGATTGCATCTCCTTACGATGCTCCACTGCGTTGTGGATCAGACATTTAGGCCAAAAGCTCCGGGTGTGGCCCCCTAAGAAAACCACCTGCTTCGGTTTGGGCACCCGGACAGTACCACAGCCCTCACACAAATCGAATGGGATTTGTGCGGCGCATATATATCTTTTGCTTCCTTGTACCAATATTTGTGTTCAAATAAAATAAATAAATAATAAAGTTGATGCAACTGAATGACCAGACACAAACGATACGTATTTAAACCTATTTTTCTGGAGAAAACAAGCCTCAGTGACATACTTGAAATCTTACTCATTTCATTCCATGTTTAGATAGATGTCCTGAATTAACTCTAGCACACCTATCGTTAACAGCTAATGTAATCAAATATGAACATACCATGTGAAAAGTGCTCGTTAAGTGTAGAAAGCTCAAAAAATAATTACGAGGGTCAACCTCGATAAATATTTGCGACACATTTTTAATAAGGTGTGCAGAGAAAAATAAACGTCCGTCAATAACTATACGCCGATAAATCTTACATGTAAAAAGCTGAGTAAAATTCAGTCAGCAAATATCCCGTCCTAAGTCACATTTGCTGACTGAATTAGTCGTGTGGCACATATATATCTGGTACCCCCTTGTACCAATATGTGTTCAAATAAACAAATAAAACATCCTAAGTCAAAATAAAATTACTTTCAAATTGATAGTATTGGATGAACGAACCGATATGATAGCCTTTTACGTGAAACTTCGACCAATAACCACATCTGAATGCCGTCCTTAGAGGGCATCAGTTGATTATGGTTACGGGCACTAGAAGTGCTGCAACACGTCAAAATGTAACCCAGCAGTGGCAACAAAATTACAGATAACTACACAGTAACACTGGACAAAAAATTACAGATGTAAATACCTAGTTGTTTTTCTAGGGACTCGAAGAGAATGTCTTGTATCTATTACCTATGGTGAGGTGAGATTACAGAGAACAAGACTAAATTTCATCTACTCAAATGTGAAACAGAGATTTCAGAATGGGTGAAAATGGGCCTCTGGATTTCACTAGGAATAAATCCAACTACATAAATTCTTGAGGTCACACTATAAGCTAAAGGACGAGTTTGGATTGACATTCTAGTGGTAATGTATCATCTGCTTTGTACTTAGGAATGATAAAAACACAGTTTAAACAGCCTATGTCGGAATGTACACTCCTTACAATGAGTTATTACCTACACAGTTATAACTGTATATTAACTATATTTTTAAACGAGTTTAACTACCTAAAATTATTTATTTATTTAAACACATATATATTGGTACAAAAGGGCACCAGGTACATATGCGCCACACAAAATAATGAAAGTAGGTAGATAAAGGATGAAAAGATAAGGCGGGCTGAAATGTACAACCAGAAGATTCTTTCAGTTAGGAAAGTTAGAACCATTCTTTATGTAGAAAGTAAAAGAAGGTTGCAGCAGGATCGCCACTGGCTTCTATTCTGAGCCATATCCGATAACGTCTCTAGCCACTGTGTTGCACTATCTCTCGGACCCCAACCACGGAGTCGTGAAGGACCAACGGAAGCTAGCCCTTTGCAGCTCTCTTTCATGCCACGACACCATGTCATACACTGACCTCCTCTCCGCTTTCTCCAACCAGTCCCAGGGTCGGCAAATAATGCACGACGCGGAAGTCTCTGGGACGACATTCGTAAAACATGTCCGAGCCACCGAAGTCGGTGTTTCAAGATGGTGACACCAATTGAATTATCGTCTCTGCGCCGGAACACACGATGCCGAACCTCTGAATTACTAACATGGTGTTGCCACTGGATGTCAGCAATCCTTCGGAGACAACGATGATCGAACACAGAGAGACGTCTAACATCCTCAACTCGGAGAGGCCAGGTTTCACAAGCATAGAGCAAAACTGCTCTCACCGACGCGTTGTAGATCCGACCTTTTACAGCCAGACTAACATCACGAAGGCGCCAAAGATGGCCCAGATTGGCATAAGCCGCTCTGGCTTTCATTATACGTGCATCAATCTCATCACTCACGCCACCACCAGCACTTATATAGCTACCTAGATACACGAACTTCTCAACTACTTCGATCTCCTCACCATCCAGGGTGAGTACAGGATGAGAATCCTGCCAGTCTTGTAGAAGTACTTTGCACTTGGAGGGTGCAAAGCACATGCCGTACCTGCGGACACTGATTGCCAACTGATTAAGTGCTGATTGCATGCCTTGGGCATTATCGCACAGTAAGACAATATCATCCGCATACTCAAGGTCGAGAAGTCGTTCTCCAGGCAACATATCCACACCGCCATTACTTACATCCATCAGAGCTGTTTCTAGGATGTCGTCGATGGCAAAGTTGAAGAGGAATGGGGAGATCGGGCAACCCTGCCTAACACCACTGCTCGAATGGAACAAGGGAGAAAGGTGGTTGTATGCCCTCACTCTGCCTGAGGTGTTCGTATACAGGGCCTTTAAGATGTTAATGAACTTCTCAGGCACACCGTTCTTCAATAGACAATCCCAGAGAACAGTCCTGTCCAACGAATCGAAGGCAGCCCTGATATCAAGAAACACTACGATTGTTGGCCTGCGATAAGTATGACGGTGTTCTAACATTTGGCGGAGGGTGAAGATGTGATCAATGCATCCTCGACCAGAACGAAAACCAGCCTGCTCCTCGCGAGTCAATCTTTCTCGGGTTTTGAACAATCTACGAAGAATGATAGAAGCCAATTGTTTGGACGCGATCGGAAGTAGACTTATCCCCCGATAGTTATTGCAGGAACAACGTGAACCCTTTTTAAAGATAGGGACGACTATTGACTCATTCCAAGATGTTGGAACACTTTCTTGCTCCCAAACCTTTCCAAACAACGCAGTCAGTTCCTTAGCCAGAAAGTCACCACCATCTTTAAAAAGAGCCGGAGGTAAGTCATCTGGGCCAGGTGATTTATAACGTTTCAAGAGTTGGAGTTCCTTGTGGACTTCCGCCTCGTTTGGTGGATCAGTCGTCACCGGCCATGGGGAGCAGGACAAGCTGTTTGATGTTGCCGGAGCAGCAGGCCAGTTGAACTGCCCTTCGAAAAATTCCGCCCATCGTCCAAGACGTCGACAGATGTTAGTGATTGGCATCCCGTCATCCTCGTAGATTGTTTCACTCACACCAGACTTCTTGCTGCCAGTGGCTCGGATGAGTTGGAAGAGCTTCCGGCAGTTACCAGATGCAGCTGCTGCTTCCATCTCATTATCACGCTCCGACCACCAGGCTTCTCGGTCCTTACTCAAGCTTTGCCCGATTTCATTACGTAACAGCCTTCGTTTGTGGTCAAACTCACGGTCACCCGGAGTAGACCGACGGGCTTCCATCAGTTGTAAGGAGCCAGAAGAAACCCAGTGCTTGTAAGCGGGACGTTTCGCGAAGCCGCAAGCGGCTTTACTCGCCATTTTCATGGTGTCGTGAAGATGCAACCAATGCTCGTCTATACTTTTCGGTGGGGTGGTAGCTAGCCAAGAGGCTAGCTCAGCTCGATACTTACTTGCAACAGAAGTTGCAGCCAGTTTACTAATATCAATCCGTTGGTGGTGGTCAATCCTTCGGCCACTGAAAAGTAAGGTGAGATTGGCGCAGACCAGGGCATGATCAGACTCCAGATAGGTACTCCAAAAGGAGCGGCAGTCTTGTACACAACCACGCCAGCGGTAGCTGATCGCGATGTGATCAATCTGAGTCCAGGCTTGGGATGCAGAGGGAGGACGCCAGGTGGCACACCGGCGATGACTGTGCCGGAAGTTAGTGCTGGCCAGAAACAGGTTGTGGTCTGTGCACAGTTGCAGCAAACGGTCCCCGTTATCAGTCCTGCGACCAACAAGTCCCCATCGGCCACCTATTTTATTTATTTATTTATTTAAACACATATATATTGGTACAAAAGGGCACCAGGTACATATGCGCCACACAAAATAATGAAAGTAGGTAGATAAAGGATGAAAAGATAAGGCGGGCTGAAATGTACAACCAGAAGATTCTTTCAGTTAGGAAAGTTAGAACCATTCTTTATGTAGAAAGTAAAAGAAGGTTGCAGCAGGATCGCCACTGGCCACCATCGGCCACCTAAACGACTCTCTTCTGTCCCTAGACGCCCGACCTGTGCATTCAAGTCTCCGGCTAGTACTACAATATCTGTCGAACGCGCTTTCTGGAGAAGAACTGTTAACTGATGGTAAAACTCATCCTTGATTGCATCCGGGCTGCAATCTGTCGGGGCATAGGCGGAGATGACGAAAAGACACCGTTTCTCACGCCGGTTTCTTCTCACTTTGATGGAACTTTCTAATCTAACAGCACATAACCGACTGTTAATGGGGATCCAATCGATTAGTGCTGCCTCAGCTCTAGCGCTTAGTGCGACACCAACGCCAGCAAGACCAGACGAAGATGCCACAGGGTCCCCGGATAAGCGCACGTGGAACAAGCTTTTCGAGGCGACAGATGGAGAGCGGATTTGTAGTACTTCACTAGAGTCTTGAATACGGGTCTCGGATAGACAACAAACGTCAACATTAAGACCTTCCAAAGACATAGCCAGCCCTATCTGTTGTCTGATCTGCATTAGTGTGCGAACATTGAAGGAAGCCAGCTTGAACGGCGTACGTGGTTTCAGAAAGACTGCCTCAGTATTCATAATCGGTGGAAGCATTCACTTTCAACCAGACAGTGACTGGAGATCGTTTAGATAGGACAGAGTTTCCACCATGGGCGAGCTGCTGCATAAGTTGAAGAGTGAGGTTACACAAATTGGGGATAAAAGGGGGTGAATTAGCGATATGGTAAGTAATAATAATAATAATAAAGGTAATAATAATAATAATGTTAATTGTCTTGCTTTTAGTATGACCAGGGATATCGTCAATAGAGTTCATAATTTCATTCATTTGTTTGTGTGTGGGCTGTGATACTGCCCGGGTGCCCAAACCGAACCTAAAATGCCTTATGAATTAACGTAAGCCAAGCAGACTACTGTGCAGAAAGTTTGTCGTTGATAAGAAAAAAGCTAATGACTGAGAGTAGTGAACTTTGAAGACGGTAACAAGGAAATATGTTAACAGTTCACAATTGGAGTCATGAGACGGTATGGGGAATCAAAACTACTTTGGTCAGTTATGTAAGAGAATGACTTGGACTAAACAAAGAACCCAAATACATAATTTCACAGAGTGCACTTACCGTCATAATAGTAGCAGACCTTTTTGTTGGTTGCTGATTCCATTTCTTGTTCACTGAAGCAGGTCAAACAAACTGCTAACAAACCAAAGTGACAGTGAACAATTAAAACAAAAGCTCAGAGAATGAAAGTCTAATAATTAAAATTATATAATTTAACGTTGATAAATAAAATTAGTTGGTCTGACTAAATTTTCCCGCGTCATTTGAATTGGGGACGAAATGAATATAACGATACATGAACCATCCTAAGCTAGATTACCTTCGACAGTTTGTGAAACCTAATGACCCGAAGGAGGAATATAAAATACTCGCTCCAATCGGTAGTGGGACCTACGGAGATGTCTTCAAGGTTAGTGTAATAATAAGCAAAGAGCATCTTATCCTCATAATTTATCCGTATAGCTAACCTTTAAGGTCGTTGCTACTCTTCAGTGCCAATATTTTTGTTAATACATTTAAATAATGTGATGGTGTGAGTTTAGAAGAAACGATTTATAGTAATGACCTTATACTTGTCTATTATAATCGACAGTAGAGAAAGTTTCTGTGAGGCCATTAGTTGAGCTATGATGGGTCAGTTTTCAGACTGTATGCAAGATTTCTACTCTCAACTTGCAGACTGTACGTTTGATACATAACCAGAATCGCGTTTTCGCCTAAAGTAAAGGTTCACAGGGTTACTTGCTAACGTTACTGAGCCACACTTACACAAAACAATTTTTAGTTCTACAGCGTTTAATCACCATATCTCAGACGTAGACGACAGTCATTAACCTTGTCAATCTCTAGATCTGTTTTAAATATTCTATTAAGAAAATTAAATAGTCTTAGGGACTGTCTTACGTAACAAGATTTATTTGAACTTGCCGTAACAATTTATTGCTCCCAGATCTGTTCAGTTTTATGTCTGCTGGAATGAGGTTCTACGTCGCTCGTAACTGACTGACTGAAAGTAACCACATAGATTTTGCTATCGGGATAAAATTAACAATTGTCCAGAGAATATCTACTCGTTTTTTTTCGAGAAGTGAAATTGTGATGATTACTGGGATAAAATAACTTGTAGTTCCATTATTGAGGAAAGTAATAAGCCTTTGTTACAGTCTTCTTTTGTTAGCGATTTCTGCATTTGCCTACAGTTTTCCAATTATGGGCTTAAGCCAGATAATGTTTCAAGGTATGATTAATATTTTACATAGAAATCTGACCACTGAAGAATGATTGCAACTAATTTTCACCATGTTGGCTGGATAAGTTAGATTTAACTTATTCTTATATAACTTAGTCTTAATTTATTATTTTTATTACTATCGCTACCACATGTCTTTTCACCATTGCTTTTGTGATTATTAGTCAATTCTATCAGTTCACCCACTCTAATAATTAAATTTTACCTACTGCTGGTAAACGATTACCTCGTTACGTGATTCATAGTCACCTACTGTGTCTCAGATGTACTCACTTTAGGTCTTGAGTTTCAATATTCCTTCATACTTACCGTTTCACTCTGTCTTCTACAACCATATTCTCAATGTGATTTGCTCACTCACCCAGTCACTCACAGCGTAGAACCTGTACGTATACACATCGATTCAAGTTGCCATACCTTACTTACTTACGCCTGTTACTCCCAATGGAACATAGGCCGCCGACCAGCACTCTGCGAACCTCTCTGTCCTGGGCCTTCGTTTCTAGTTCTATCCAGTTTTTGTTCATTCTTCTCATGTCTGTCTCTATTTCTCGGCGTAATGTGTTCTTTGGTCTTCCTCTTCTCCTTTGACCTTCAGGATTCCATGTGAGGGCTTGTCTTGTGACACAATTAGGTGATTTCCTCAAGGTGTGCTCAATCCACTTCCAGCGCTTCTTCCTGATTTCTTCCTCCGCTGGAATCTGGTTTGTTGTCTCCCACAGTAGGTTGTTGCAGATAGTTTCTGGCCATCGGATCCGAAGTATCTTGCGTAGACAGCTGTTAATAAACACTTGTATCTTCTGCATAATGGCTTTCGTAGTTTTCCAAGTTTCCACCCCATATAGTAGAATTGTCTTGACATTTATATTGAAAATTCTGACTTTGGTGTTGGTTTACAATTGTTTTGAGTTCCGGATGTTCTTCAGTTTTAAATATGCCACGCTTGCTTTGCCGATCCGCGCCTTCACATCTGCATCAGATCCACCATGTTCATCAATGATGCTGCCTGGATATGTAAAGGTTTCCACATCCTCCAAAGCTTCTTCATCAAGTGTGATTCGACTGGTGCATGCTGTTGCATCGGATAGTCTTGCTTTTCCCTTTGTGTATATTGAGAGCTACTGCTTCAGAGGCTTCTGCTACACTGGTCGTCTTCTCTTGTATTTGTTGTTGCGTGTATGATAGAAGCGTCAGATCATCTGCGAAGTATAGACCTCCAGATGTTGACGACTTCATGATGCAGTTGATCACCAGGAGTAAGAGAAAGGGTGAGAGTAAGCAACCTTGCCTAACACCGGTCTTTACTTCAAACGAGTTAGTGAGTTGTCTTCAGTGCACGACTTTGCACTTTAATCCATCATAGGAATTTCGTATGATATTGACTATCTTCTCAGGCAGGCACTCCTTAGTGTCAAAGAAGCCTCCATAGTGTTGTCCTGTCTACACTATCCCGTAGTCGAAGAAGTTGATGTAGAGTGATGCATTCCATTCGATTGATTGTTCCACAATGATACATAGAGTTGCGATTTAGTCTGTACACAATCGATCCTTACGAAATCCAGCTTGTTGGTCTCGGAGTTGGGCGTCTTCAGAGTCCTTCATTTTGTTCAACTACACCCTGTTGAAGACTTTTCCTGGTATTGAGAGAATAGTGATGCCCCTGTAGTCATCACACTTGCTGAGATCGCCTTTCTTTGGTATTTTGACCAGAAGTCATTCTTTTCAGTCTGTTGGTACTTGTTCTTCATCCCAAATCTTATTGAAGAGGATGTGGAGTATCTTTGCAGTTACTGCTACATCTGCTTTCAGTGCCTCTGCTGGAATGTCATCTAGTCCTGCTGCTTTGCCGCTCTTGATTTATCTGATAGCTATGCTGATCTCTTCAATTATTGGTGGCCCAACATTGATTCAGAGGTCCGTGAGGTGCTACTTCGATGTTGGGTTGTTTCGGTGAAGCTGATCAATTCAAGAGTTCTTTGACGTGTTCTACCCACCTGTTTCGTTTTTCTTCAATGTTGGTGATTATTTTGCCTTCCTTGCTTTTCACTGGTCTTTCTGGCTTACGGTAATTTCCAGCGAGTTTCTTTACTGTATCATACAGTTGTCTCATGTTTCTTTTTCTTGCAGCCTTTTCTGCCATCATTGCTAAATCATCTACATATTTACGTTTGTCGATTCTGATACTCTTCTTCACTTGCTTGTTTGCCTCTGTGTATTCGGCTTGTGCCTTGGCTTTTTCTGTTCTTGTTCGGCTGATATTGATTGCTGCCTTCTTGTTCCTCCTTTCTTCAATTTTATCCAGTGTACCAACAGTGATCCATTCCTTGTGATGGTGTTTCTTGTGGTCCAGAACCTCCTGACATGTTGATGTGATTGCCTCCATGATCCCTTTCCATTTGTTCTCCATGGTAGTTCCCTCTCTTTATTGAGTAGATCGTGAAAGGCCTGGAACTTATTGCTGAGAGCTATCCTAAATTTGTTGAGTTTGTCTGCATCTCGAAGAAAGGCCGTATTAAACTTTTGTGATGTTGTCCGCGCCGTTGTCCAGTGCTTCTTAAGTTTTAGTTTCATCTTGGCGACCAGCAAGTGATGATCTTATGCTATATCAGCTCCTCTCCTGATTCTCACATCCTCCATCGTCCTGCTGAACTTTTTGTTGATGTAGATATGGTCGATTTGATTCTGTGTAGTGTGATCCGGTGAAATCCAAGTGGCTTTGTGTATGTTTTTGTGTGGGGATATGGCGTCACCTATGACCAGTTTATTGAAGGCACATGGGTTTGCAAATCTCTCACCATTTTCTTTCCTTTCTCCCAGTTCATGTCGTCCAGTGATATCTTCATATCCGGTGTTGTACATTCGAACCTTGGCATTGAAATCGCCCATCAGAATGGTCAGGTCCTTTGTTCAGCACTTCTCGACGATTGACTGCAGCATATCGTAGAATTGATCTTTAACTTCTTCATTGTAGTCGTTGGTAGGCACATAGCATTTTAACGCCCTCTTTCTTTGTTTTGAAGGAAGCTTTGATGATTCTTGGCCCATAGAATTCCTATTCTATAAGTGCTTTTTGTGCTTTTCTGGACAGCATCAATGCAACTCCTTGTGTATGTGGGGCATTTTCTTCTTCATTGCCGGAGTATAACAGAAGGTCTCCTGAAGCTAGTCTTTGCTGTCCAACCTGCGTCCAGTGTGTTTCATTGATTCCAAGCACCTCCAGGTTGTATTTTCTCATTTCTGCAGCAATTTGGAAAACTCCTCCGGTCTCTCACATTGTCCGGACATTCCATGTACCTATAAAAATTGTCGCTCTGGTTGTTAGAAGGTGCATCGGCCTCATGACTTCCGAAGGAACTCGGCTTTCATCATGAGGTGTCATAATTCTTCCTTCAACTCCCAGGGCAGAGTTCAAATGGTTTAAATAATTTTTTCTGGTTAGCGTTTTTTTAGCGAGTTAGTTTTCTACGGAATGGGGTCGCTAACTCCATGCCCGACCCTCCTCCTTTATCCGGGCTTGGGACAGGCGGTTGTCCCCGCAAGGGTTAAAGGCGGAGTTAAGTTGTCATACCCCATTAGCATAAATAGATCTCAGGTTAAATCCCACAATATTAGAGGTAGTAACGCTATTAGTGGTAATAGGAAAATTAGTTGTCAATTAGACAACTGGAGGAAATATAAATTTGCAAAATAAAAACAAAAAAAGTCATGACGGATTTAGAAAACTTTCCTACTCTTGCGCTTATTTTGAAGCTTGTTCTGATATGGTATAGGAATTCGGACCAACGTACATTCCTATGTTACTTTAAGCTGATTATGATCGACTCAGCAAATAAGTTCTCTAACGTACATTGTTTCTACAAAATGTTTAGGATTATCTTATTCATTTTTTGCACCATTTCAGTGAGATATTTTTGTATTTTTACGACACTACGCCTTCGAAATATTATATCTAAAATAGTAATGCATATATTGGAAATTTTCATGACTCAAGGTGAAGTAATTTCACTTTATACCACAGTAATTATAGTCCTTGCTTTGTAAAAGCTTACCAGTGGAGCTTTCGGCTTAAACCATCTTATTCCCTTACAATACTTGTGACTCATTGGTAATGATGCATATCCAGCCAGATCTACTGAACTTTTTGATTGATGATCTGGGGTTTTGACAGTTACGTAAAATTATTTTCCTAATAACCATATCAGTTACTAATTTATTCCATCTCAGTCTAGTAAAAAGTTTATTTAACATAATTTTCCCGCGTGTTATTTCCCTTATGTTTGAGTAATCGCTTTGTTTTGTCCAGGCGGTTCATCGTGAGAGGCGAACACTGGTGGCGGTTAAAGTTATGAAGATTGATCTAAAGGATGACATTCGATCAATTTGTCAAGAAATACACACCTTGAGAGAATGTCGGCATCCAAATATTGTGCAGTTTTATGGTAGTTATCTTAGGTAACTTATCTACATGTAATCTATATTAAAATTGATTTTATTCAGAAATAACAAATTATGGATATGCATGGAATATTGTGGTGGACAATCTATGCAAGATATTTATCTCTGTATGAAAAAAAACAATTTATCATAAACTGTGGATTGTTACTTTTCGTGTAGATACCAGACGTCCCTTAGAAGAAGACTGTATTGCATTTGTCTCCAGAGAAACTTTACAAGGTTTGAACTTTATGCACAATCGTGGACGTATTCATAGAGATATTAAAGTTAGTGTATTTTCCCACTTTTGTGACTGCGATTTATGTTTAGGGTGCTAATATTCTTCTGACAGATGACGGTCATGTCAAAGTGGGTATGTTTTTTTTGTAATCAGTGATTCTTACTTTATTATTTCAATCTTAAAAATTAGCGGATTTCGGTGTCGCCGCCCAACTGAGTACTTCGATTGCCAAACGGACAACTTTAATTGGAACACCCTACTGGTGGGTTTTTATTGATTTTACTTTTTCGAGCAATAATTCATGTTTTTTTCTACAAATTTCCCCACAAAGTACACATATTTTTAAACAAATTAATCACAAGAGAAAATTATTTAGTATTTTCATCTCAATTTATAATTAATTCTGATGATTGAAGGACTCATGGCTCAGAATCAGTCATAGTGTTACTTACGCTTAGTCACCTCTTACCTTAGCGGTTGTTTGCCGGTATAGAAGTATGTCAAACAAAAGCTAGAGGTGGCTAAACCAAGACACTGAATCTCTCCATTAAGGGGTAGATTTAGTCTGGATCATGTTGGTCCGTGCAATAACGGCGACTAGTTGCTAGAAACTTTGGATGACATGGCTCAGAATCATTCACAATAGCACAAATACATTGACTCTTTATTCTCCCCTGTATCATGAATCCCATCGTTCTGTTATGCATACCCTCTCCACTCTATCTTTTAAAACCCTATTCTCATTACTTAGTCTTTTTCATTGTTATTGATATTACATTATTTCACTAACTTTTGCCATACAACTTGTTAATTTTATCTCATCAAACTGATGCGGTACGCCAACGCACATCTGTTCCAGGCTTTACGTTGTTTATGACTGACTGGCTGAATAAATATAATAATAATCCGTTTTCTGACTATACTGACTCTTCACAAGTTAATTATAAATAGAAGGAACTGTTACGCTAATTTTAACAAGACTTACAAAAATCCTCAGATCTACCTATCACTACCATTCCTTTGAATAGTTGTCATCAACAAAAGTGATGTAATAATAGTTTCTTTCGTTTAGTAGATTTTGGCAGTAACATAATATTACCAACTATAAACTTATCTTACCAAACAAATATTACGTAGATCCTAACAACACAGCACATATATATGGAGAAAGCTTAAACCAAGTCACCAAGAGAAATCAATTACCCAGACATATTAATAAGTTCATGCTCATACTGATGTTCGATTGGGTTGAAAACGTAATTTTTTACTAAATTCTTTAGTATTTAACCACCAACATCGTTTCCGTTGACTGCTAAATTCTTCTATAAATTTGTAGGATGGCGCCTGAGGTAGCCTCAATTGAATCTCGTGGCTCGGGTTATGATGGAAAGTGTGATATTTGGGGTGTTGGGATTACTGCTATTGAATATGCTGAACTGCAACCTCCAATGTTCGATTTAGACCCTAGGAAGTAAGTGTGTTTTTGGCCCCTATTAAAAGTGAGTCGTTCGAAATGTAACTGTTTGTACCGTTGCCAGCTAAATAATACTATTCTTTTTTGATCATTCTGTTCCCTAGAGCACTACAAATTCTGGGTTCGCGAAACTATAAGCCTCCTTCTTTACAAGACCGTCATAAATGGTTCGTTTTCTATTTTTTGATGATTTGCTGTTATATTCGTTGTTACAATATTTATACTGTGTTCATTTATCTTTTATCTTGCTGGTTAATTTGTTAGACGCGACTGACTGCGTTGTGGTAGCTATTTCAATAGTAGTTCATTTTATCCGTATTTCGTGTTTCTCACTCGGACCAGCATGGAGTTTTTTCTACCAACATTTTACTTTCTTTAATCAGTATTACAGGCATAATATAACAATATTTTCGTCATAAACATAAGATTTCTGATTCCACGTTTAATAAAATTCCAGCCAAATAGTAAAAATTCCCAAACCTCTGGACATTCTTTGTAAATTTTTATTTTTCTCTAGTGATTAGTATCTGATTGGTTTGGTGTCTCCTAATCGTCTACTTAAATTTTTTTATTTTTCTTAGTATAAAAGTTGAATTAAGAGATTTTAGTAACGGTCATGACACAACAGCATAATACACGAAGGTATTGATTGTTGATCTAAGCTATATCATTATGTTTGCATGATATTCGTGATCATTGATTGAAGATATTGAATAAAATGGCTCATAAACAGTCGCAATCATTCAAATCTCCAGCCTTAATCTGATTTAATGCATCTTATCTCATGAGCTTATTTCTTTTTAAGCAAAATTCCGTATGTTTGGTTTTTCTAATTATCATCATTGTCAATACCATTACCCCTACTTTTTTATTATGCATCATGTCACTTTCCTCTCGCCTTTCCACTCGGATCATTGTACATTTATGCCAGGTCTTCCAGTGATTTTGACTCATTGATTAGCCTTTCATATATTTCTTAACAACTAATGACATCTGCCAACTCTCCAAGCCTTGATTAATAAAACAGGATTCTAATATGTAATCAGACACTGTAAAATTTAGTATTGAAATGTTCAATACAAAGTTTTATTTGTAACCTTTTCATTTTATAGCTTTGTTTTAAACACTGAATTTAAGCTATTGGTTCAACTGAATTTATTTACCACGAGTTTTGTGCAATATCTTGTTTTACATTGTACAACATGTTTTTAATTCATAATTGTTAGTCATAATCGTCCTATGTTACGTTTGTGGTAAACCTTAATTGACTTATTTTTATGTCGCAGAAATTATACCTGAATAGATTAAGATATTTTTTTCGGAATTTTTGTGCCATATGCAACAACATGTATTTACTGTGACATTATAACGTAAGAAAGTTTATCTTAAATATCAGATTTTTGCATAAGTTTACAGTAAAAATAAAGAAAATGAGGTTGAAGTGTGCCACTGTTGTGTTGAGCGTTGTCTGGTTCTAATACTGATGAACTGTTAGTGGGATATAGATTGTATTAAAGCACGTTCCGTGCAGGATTATGTTGGGAGTACTCTAATTGGCTATTTCTCATACAATCAGTGCTAGTGAATACTTGGATAAAATTCTAGGATCTTATGTAAAGACTATAAATATACTAACGTTTCTCTTGTGACTCCTACTTCCATCTGCCCTTGTTATTTGGAATGTAGTTTCGTCCTTGTTCGACTGTGTTCTGATTTTGGGACTTATCGAGTAAATTAGTGTCCAAGACTACTGAGCAACAACAGTAGCTGGGTCGTAATAAGAGAAATTATAATACTTACATAAATGTATCACTACTTTTTTGTCTCAATAAAAAAAAACAAATTATAGCTGACATTGTTGAAAATTTAAATAGCGACACTTAATTCAGGTGTGATCAGAGTTCAATAACTTTTGTTTACAATAACACTTAGGAATTCTGTTTAATTACTGCCTAGTACAATGATAATCTCTACATAACCTGTTCATTTAAATTGTGATTATCAACTCAATATCGACTGATTTTGTGATGATTTCCTGAATTCCCAATAGGAAGTTTGGTCAGTAGAATTTAGACCTGTCTTAAGTGAAATCGTTGTCATCAATAGCATTGGATGATTATTGTGCTATATTACGAGTTGATTAAATTTGAAAATACGTAATATTGTATTCCAGCCGATTGGTTATAACAGTTAAGTGTTCGCCATGTAACCTAGAGGTCCGTTTCTCGGCGAGCTCATAGGTTCACACTTCTGAGGAGTTTTATGCTAAGAAAAAGCTCTCTGGTACTCCTCAGTTATCTATGGTATGATAACTGATCAATATAGGACGAAAATTACCTTCAAGAAGATATTATTGACATAAAGTTCGTGCAAAATTTGTAACCGACTCACTTCATTCTTGTTGAGATATACATGTTATGATAGTTTTCACCTCTGACTAATATCAACTATAAAACCATGAAAAGTAAACAGATTATTTATTTATTTATTTATTTAATCACATATATATTGGTACAAAGGGCACCGGATACATATGCGCCACACACAATATCATGATTGTTCCACAATGATACGTAGAGTTGCGATTTGGTCTGTACACAATCGATCCTTACGAAATCCAGCTTGTTGGTCTCGGAGTTGGGCGTCTTCAGAGTCCTTCATTTTGTTCAACTACACCCTGTTGAAGACTTTTCCTGGTATTGAGAGAATAGTGATGCCCCTGTAGTCATCACACTTGCTGAGATCGCCTTTCTTTGGTATTTTGACCAGAAGTCATTCTTTTCAGTCTGTTGGTACTTGTTCTTCATCCCAAATCTTATTGAAGAGGATGTGGAGTATCTTTGCAGTTACTGCTACATCTGCTTTCAGTGCCTCTGCTGGAATGTCATCTAGTCCTGCTGCTTTGCCGCTCTTGATTTATCTGATAGCTATGCTGATCTCTTCAATTATTGGTGGCCCAACATTGATTCAGAGGTCCGTGAGGTGCTACTTCGATGTTGGGTTGTTTCGGTGAAGCTGATCAATTCAAGAGTTCTTTGACGTGTTCTACCCACCTGTTTCGTTTTTCTTCAATGTTGGTGATTATTTTGCCTTCCTTGCTTTTCACTGGTCTTTCTGGCTTACGGTAATTTCCAGCGAGTTTCTTTACTGTATCATACAGTTGTCTCATGTTTCTTTTTCTTGCAGCCTTTTCTGCCATCATTGCTAAATCATCTACATATTTACGTTTGTCGATTCTGATACTCTTCTTCACTTGCTTGTTTGCCTCTGTGTATTCGGCTTGTGCCTTGGCTTTTTCTGTTCTTGTTCGGCTGATATTGATTGCTGCCTTCTTGTTCCTCCTTTCTTCAATTTTATCCAGTGTACCAACAGTGATCCATTCCTTGTGATGGTGTTTCTTGTGGTCCAGAACCTCCTGACATGTTGATGTGATTGCCTCCATGATCCCTTTCCATTTGTTCTCCATGGTAGTTCCCTCTCTTTATTGAGTAGATCGTGAAAGGCCTGGAACTTATTGCTGAGAGCTATCCTAAATTTGTTGAGTTTGTCTGCATCTCGAAGAAAGGCCGTATTAAACTTTTGTGATGTTGTCCGCGCCGTTGTCCAGTGCTTCTTAAGTTTTAGTTTCATCTTGGCGACCAGCAAGTGATGATCTTATGCTATATCAGCTCCTCTCCTGATTCTCACATCCTCCATCGTCCTGCTGAACTTTTTGTTGATGTAGATATGGTCGATTTGATTCTGTGTAGTGTGATCCGGTGAAATCCAAGTGGCTTTGTGTATGTTTTTGTGTGGGGATATGGCGTCACCTATGACCAGTTTATTGAAGGCACATGGGTTTGCAAATCTCTCACCATTTTCTTTCCTTTCTCCCAGTTCATGTCGTCCAGTGATATCTTCATATCCGGTGTTGTACATTCGAACCTTGGCATTGAAATCGCCCATCAGAATGGTCAGGTCCTTTGTTCAGCACTTCTCGACGATTGACTGCAGCATATCGTAGAATTGATCTTTAACTTCTTCATTGTAGTCGTTGGTAGGCACATAGCATTTTAACGCCCTCTTTCTTTGTTTTGAAGGAAGCTTTGATGATTCTTGGCCCATAGAATTCCTATTCTATAAGTGCTTTTTGTGCTTTTCTGGACAGCATCAATGCAACTCCTTGTGTATGTGGGGCATTTTCTTCTTCATTGCCGGAGTATAACAGAAGGTCTCCTGAAGCTAGTCTTTGCTGTCCAACCTGCGTCCAGTGTGTTTCATTGATTCCAAGCACCTCCAGGTTGTATTTTCTCATTTCTGCAGCAATTTGGAAAACTCCTCCGGTCTCTCACATTGTCCGGACATTCCATGTACCTATAAAAATTGTCGCTCTGGTTGTTAGAAGGTGCATCGGCCTCATGACTTCCGAAGGAACTCGGCTTTCATCATGAGGTGTCATAATTCTTCCTTCAACTCCCAGGGCAGAGTTCAAATGGTTTAAATAATTTTTTCTGGTTAGCGTTTTTTTAGCGAGTTAGTTTTCTACGGAATGGGGTCGCTAACTCCATGCCCGACCCTCCTCCTTTATCCGGGCTTGGGACAGGCGGTTGTCCCCGCAAGGGTTAAAGGCGGAGTCTAGAATATCTAAACTGTCACTTAATTCAGCTTTTTACTACTATTAGTAACAGCTATTTAAGTCAGTTGTACTGGATGCTTTACTTTATGTAGACCGTGAAATGTAAAATTCCATATTTAATTGTTGCGAAATTAAATCGAGATTTTTTTCTTATTTGTCATATGATCTGTGTTTTAATCCATCCAGAAAGATAAAATGTGGTATGATCAAACTTTAAAACACAATACCTGTGATCGATTTTGAAAGAAACTGATCCAGTAGCTTGATTGACAAGAAATCAATACTCACATACAATCACACAACATATAGATCATTATTCAGAATAAATACGAACACCTAGCAGCACACTGTTTGATCATATGCTAGTTTTAGTAGTAAAGCGATGACTGAGTTACAAACAAACTTAACTTTCAACAACTAGGTTGTGAGTTCCAACTCCTCGTTCCACTTCTTTTACTTTGAGTATCAAAAGAGTATTAATAATCATCATGCATAAAATGTGCTTCAATTGGTGGCACACTTGTCATTTCCCTTTTTGTACTGATGTGCTTCATAGTAATTCAGATTGATGTATAATGGTGCTATTTCCTACGTTCTTTATCTTGAATTAATAATTGTATTTGGTGCTCCGATTTTCGACGAATCTATGCATTCTAAGAGACAATTTCTGAATACAGAACACTACTATCTAAATCTGACTTGAGTATTCGTAGGGTGAATTTGTTGGCAAACATTTTAAAGGATATTACTTAACACCAAACCGTTATTTGTTATACATAAACAATCTTTTTTTTCATGAAATTCCTTTGGCTTTCAATTAAGACTGTTAAGCCACGCATACACGTTGATTATCAAGCTTAATGTTGATACAAAAATAGACTATTTGCTTTTTAATGGATTTCAAATACTTTCCTGACCAACAATATATATATATATATGTATATATATATATATCGTTGTCCTGCATACTTTCTGGGTTGATGCATACGAATCTTTCATCCATCACTACTTTTTTTCTCCTATAATTTAAGTCATTTTAATTTCAAAAAGGTTAGGAGACAAATTATAATCCGTATGTTATCATATGCGCTTCTACCATTGACTATTATAATTTCTATATATTTTAGGTCACCATTATTTCATTCGTTTATTAAATGTTGTTTAATCAAAGCAGAACGACGAAGACCTGATGCAGCTACAATGCTCACAGTAGGTTACATATACTTTATTATTTCATTGATTGGTTATGTATTCATTGTTGTAGAAGTGACTATTTTGTGATCTTTATTTCTATTCTTGTAAATTCAGTTATTGATCGACATGTTAACTTATCGCCATACTATTTTGGCTGGATGATTTCCATTTAAATACTATCAATAATTTCCTAATATGTATTCATTGACTCGGTCAATAGGGTAGTGGTTCCATCATCTAAATTCTAGTTATAATTTAGTGATCGATTAAGTAACTATCAATTTGGCCATTTTAGTTGTTAGATTTAAGGGTTCATGGACTGTCGGGTTTGTAATAAATCTTGATAGTTCTGCGTTTATTTTTTACATAATTGACAAATATGGATACTTGTGAAGGAGGATGTAAAAACTTTTACACATCTAGGCAGCATCATTGATGAACATGGTGAATCTGATGCAGATGTAAAGGCGCGGATCGGCAAAGCAAGAGCAGCATATCTACAATTGAAGAACATCTGGAACTCAACCAACACCAAAGTCAGAATTTTCAATATAAATGTCAAGACAGTTCTACTGTATGGGGGCGGGAACTTGGAGAACAGTTGTCTACGTAGACATTATCAGCAACAACCTACTGTGCGAGAGAACAAACCAGATTCCAGCGGAGGAAGAAATCAAGAAAAAGCGTTGGAAGTGGGTAGGGCGCACATTCAGGAAGGCACCCAACTGCATCACAAGGCAAGCCCTCACATAGAAACCTGAAGGCCAAAGGAAAAGAGGAAGACCAAAGAACATAATAATTCGAGAACTAGACACAGACATGAGAAAAATGAACAAAAGTTGGATAGAACTAGAAAGGAAGGCCCAGGAGAGAGTGGGTTGGAGAATGCTGGTTGGCGGCCTATGTTCCATTGGGAGTAACAGGCGTGAGTAAGTAAGAGTCTCGAACATTAAGGTAAAACATTTATCCAGTGTTAATTGTTGTAAATATCTATTTAATTGATATTGACTTTTGATGAAAACAACTTTAATATCTATCGAATTTTCTCAATTTATTAACTTGAATGGTATTTTTTCCAATTAAATTGTAGCATAACTTTATTACAAATCCACACTTGTCTACTTTATTAACTCAACGTCTGCTGTGTTATCGGAGACAATTAGAATCCTCAGCCAAAAATACTTATTCTCATGGAGACACAGGAGTATCTTTATCAAATAAGAAGAATCCTCCGTCTGAAGGTAATTTTATTTTCCCTGATAATCATGAACCACCAGTATCCTATCCCGCTATGCCTGCTTCAGTTCGACAGGATGAATTTTTCAAATCTCTTCGAGTTAATGATCTCCCAGTTAGTCACAGAATCGATGCTAATGGTCCTGTGCATTTTGTCTCATCACAACAACTGATTATTGAACGGAAACCGGAACAATTTCCAAGTGTACAAATTCAAAGCAGTTTATCTTGCTCTGACTTAGCCGACGTAAGTTCAGCATCTGTCTTTCCGTGTGTTTTAAATTATCTTGATAACCTTAAAATACCAGTTTTCACCATTGCTCATGTAGTTATGGGTCATTCTCTTGTCTTCTTAGTAGCAGTAACAAATGACTAACTGAAATACTGTTGATAAAATCCCATGAAGAAGTATTTGACATGAAAGACACTAAATTATTCATGTTTGATGTCATGTAGACTGACTAAGCAATCCTAGTGTACAACTTGTAAAAGCATTTATTACCTATTTGATACTATTGTGAAAGTTCTCAGATTTGCAATTTTTTATTTTTAAAAATCAACGTAATATCGAAAGCTTTAATGCGTGAACAGTAATTGAGTCTGTCGTTAATAAAAAAACACTCAGTTACTTCTGACTGTGGTATTAATCTTCCTCGTATATTATGAAATTTCTCAATTTATTTGAATTAAAAGTAAATAGTAAAAGAATATTTTACTATTTTTCACAATTTGATCTACTCAGTTTTTATTCATCCCATTGTTAATTAATGTCGTATTAAACCTACTAGTCGTATACCGTCACTGTCTTATCTAAGAAAGAAATGTGAAGTTATTGTTGTTAAAGGTATCAAATCATGCATAATCCACCTAAGTATCGAATGAATAACTAATATTCAGTTCTGAATACAAAAATATGTTGTAGTTCTTCATTGTCGTTAAATGTTAGTTTTTAGGAAATCTTTACGGAAATATAATTTTGCGAATTTCCGTTTTTTGATTTGGAGGTTATACATAAAGCAACAATTAACCTTTGAACGTGTTGAATTTAGATATTTTGAGTTTACTTTCTGTGTAGATTCACACAGCTGTACATTTCGTTATAACTGAAATCCACTGGAGAATGTTAAAGCAGAGAGACTATAAAGTTGTTTCCTCTAGAAGAGCTTTCATTTACAGTTTTGCAAACGAGACTACGTTATACTACCTTCACGAAATTCGCTTATTGATGCCTTCTTTGTTGATTTCCGGGATTTGTGATTGTATAATACATTTGGTGGCAAAACTTCATATCGGTTTCAATGGCATAATTAGATCCATCCTTTATCTTCTTTCCAGATTTTGAGTTTTACTATTTGACCACGTTCTGTGTATTGTTTTCAATTTCATTCGTTTCCTTCTGACTAAACTTTCTAAGTATATCGTTTTCGTCACTACTATTGATATTATCATTTCGATTCGTTTGTTGTTCATTTTGTGAATTGTGGCCAGTTGAGATAATGTATGTTCACAAGAACTTCTGTGTCATCTGATAACTAGCTTTTTTTGTTTTTTTTGTACTAATTATCATTCAATTGCTTACTACATTACTTACCTATCGATTTCAGCTTGGTTATAATAATGTAAGTTTTACATCATCTTTAAAGCCTGTTTCGTATTGTATTGTGCTCTTTCATTAATCTTATTAATCAAGTTATCTTAAAAAGTTTTAACTTTCGTTTATTTTCCTATTGAAAGTTTTCATGTATGGATGATCATTAGTTCAGCTCACATGTTCTCTTGCTTATGTAGCAAAATAGTGTAATGAATCTTGAAACTTGGTGATCCGTTTCTATATTTTGTCTCTGTAAGAAACAAAATATTATTACGTCTAACATTTCTGTTTAACTTCACTTTAAAAATCTTCAGAACTATTCTGTCAAAAGAATTCATGTTACTGTGTGATAAATTTCATTGATTAACATTCTAAATGGTGTAATTCATTATATAAAATATTAACGTCTATCAGTTTTAATTTTATTTATCATATAGATGATTCATGTAGTTTTTTCGTATATAAATTTGTTGTAAAAACAATAATAATAACAAATAATAGACATTTTTACCCTTACGACTTGTACCAACTATAACAACACCATTTCTCTTTTTCTACTTCAACATATACATGTGGGTATTTTCATCTTTTTTTCTCATTGGTTTGATATTTCCAGATGATTTTTGACTAAATCTACTGTTTGTGTATTGTCATTACATCATACTAGTCCAGGCTATTATTTATGATAAACTACTGGTAATTGTGATTTAGAAATATCTAGAAAAAAATTTATACAGAATCAGAGGTATAATTAGATATATGGTACAGTAGGTTTGTACTTACTAATTATTACATATCTTTCTAGCAGTATAAACCACTATAATTAGATTTAAGTCTATATAAGATTGTGTAAATATGCAGAGAGGTTTTAGTGCTTGTCCGGTACTTAGTAGATCACTAGTTTTGAAATCGTTCCCATCTGTTTCTATCCGAGTAACTAAAACCTGTATCACTAGCCTCCATATAAACAGTACACCTCAAAGCCGAGTACGCAAACATGTACGTAGTCAGTAGGTTATATTGGTTTGTAATGTTAATTTGTGTCAATGATCATATGCGCTGAATTGATTATGACTGAATGATTGTAATAATAGTATGAATTGGTCAAGCCGAATATTTTTACTTATCAGAATTCATGGTTTTGTGCTCGTTTCACAAAGGTAGACAAATAAGAGGAAAAAGACCTTTACTTGCACTCACACTTTTCCACATTTCACAACAGTACAAAAAGGTAGTTATGGTGCAAAGTTCGGTTTTATTATAATTTAAATTTTTTTCGTGGTCCATCTAAATTTCATACACCTGAGAAATATATATGATTACTGATGATATCTTATCTTTGTAATTTAGTCATAATATTCTAAATAACGCTATATATGAATGATTATTTTAATTCATCTAATGGTATATATCAATTTAGTTGAGTCATTGATTCATTTCTCTAAAATCTACATACAATTACAATTCTCGAGATCAGTTCCGTGTGAAAACTATCGTTTCTAATCACATTAATCATCATAACTTTCTTCATAATTCACCTCTTGACAAATATTTTATTTTATGTTGTGTTTTATTTTTCCCTTTAATTTGTAAGCTTTAATTTTTCCATTTTAACACTTTAGGATCTTACAAAGAATTGTAATGAGATTGCAGAATCTACAGATGTGAACTACATTTCACAAGGAAGAGAAATCGCTATAAATAATAATGATAATTTAACTAGAAAAAACTATGCACCAGATATAACAGTTACAGCTAATGGATTTGTTAAACATTCACAATCCGACTTATCATCTCAGTCTAATAATGCACAACAACAAGCTGTGATTCGACCTTTATTACCAGCGAAATCCTCTAGACACTCTTCAGTGTTTAATAATGATAGTAATCATTCTGTAGATTCAACAAATTCATTCAATCAAAATAATAATATGGCTCCTCTTATCTCTACTGATAATAACAGTAATATTAATAGTAATATTGATAAATCATCAGCTGTAACTATTACCACTAATAATAATGATAAGCAAAAACCTAGTCGTCCTTGTCCGCCCATAATACGACTTAATCCATCACGTTTATCAAATATAAACAGTGTTGGTGGAATATCTGAAGAAACTGATTGTTTAACAGAAAATCATTTATTTGCTGATCGTTTATTACATATCAGTTCAGAGGCAAGTGCCTATTTTGTTTTACATTCTGTTAATTTTAGAAGTATGGATTCATTACTTCCATTTTCTACACTATATCAACATTTATAAGCTCTTGAATTCTAGGCGTATGCATGTTTGACAGAAGCTATGCTATTTTTTCAGTTGTGCATCAAAAAATTTTTTTCTGAAAGTTTATAATTTGCTATGTTTATCTGTCATAAAAAATGTTTATAATTTCATGTTTAATAAATTTCGATCTTGCTTATGTGAATATAAATCGGTTCGTTTGCCTAGTGTTCTACATACGTGATTTCCAGCTTATTGGTTCTACAATTTAAATTGAGTTTCAGGGTTTCATATGCACGACTTTTCATCAGTAGATCAAGGATTCAAATTGCAATCCACTCATTGTATTTTACATCTGGGTACTGTCAGTAACCTTCACTAAACATATATTACCCATAGCTTATTACATCAACCCATGAACTATCATTCAATCACATTCGTATTCAGATACTGAATACTCCACATTCGTTCACTACCTCTTACTGTATTCTAAATCTTTGGTGATTTTTACAAAACAACTTTAGTTTATTCACAGTCAATATCTAATCATTACATTAACCATTCATCAACGTATGTATGTCATTAAACACAAAGTAACCAAGTAACGAAAACACATTAATCAAAAGTACATAATTCTCTTACTGTTTCTAATATTTTCATTTGCATCTAATTCTTTTCTATGTTGAGAAAAATAACCATCTAAAATAGTTGATTATTTTATATCGTCATTGTTCATGGCTTTTTTTAACTTTTACAAATTCACTTGTTTTTTAGTAGAAAAAAATATACTATTTGATTTTTATAGTTTATAACATTTCAATCTATTTTCGGGTGATAAAAAGTGGATAAAATATTTAATAACTAAATACATTACGTAGTGTTCAATATAGGACTTGCTTTTTGTTACTTTATATTTGAAATTTTTTACTTTTCATTTCTTTTTCGATGTGTAGGATTTGCTCAGTGAGGTAATGGATGCATTTGAAAAACGTCGTAGTGGTGTTGATTTCCGTACATCTCAATCCATTGATGGGTAAGTCAACTATGAAAATGTACGAAACGTAAAGAAATTTTTTGTCTTAAGAACTATTCAACACAATAATTATTCAGTTTATCAATATTTCTTGATGTAGTCTAATGATATCCGATAAAGATCACTTTATATATCTTATTTACAAAAGTTAAGATTATTTGATTCCTAGTTGTTAATCTGGAGAATATCGTGCTCTTCCCAATATCTGAGTATTCTTGGTTCTATTCCACACTTAGTTGTGAAGTGTCAAACCGAAACAAAACAGCCTTTGAGTGTTCCCTGGTTTTAAGTTATTTTTTAGGTGATACCAGTTTATGATGAAAATCATATACCTCTCGCTCTCTCCTTAAGTTCATTGAATGTGGCATATAAACTGACCAAATATTGTTTTTTTATGATAGCCGTCAATACAAAAAGTATTTGTTACATTCCTTAACTTTTTAGAAAATAAGGAGGTGTTTTTCAAAATCTTAATTTGTTTTTGCGATAATCTAATTTTCAGTTTCGATGTTAGTCGGATGGATAATGAGATCAAATTGAATGTGAGTACCTGCTACTTATTTTAGTCTATATTATATATACTTTTCGCTACTATTATTATTATTATTACTATTATTATTGTCAATATACGACACCGCTCTTCCAAATCCTGCTCTATCTAATTCGGTTTGACAAACCAGTAGGTTCCAGGTCTAAGTACGGTCGTACAGGCGCGTAGTATTGCAGGGTCTCATAAGGAAGATATGACCTGAAGCTAAGTACATAAGCCTTCATTTGGTCATTTAGTTACACCTAATTCTGTTATAATAACAAATGTAAAATAATCAATTCCTTTTCGTCATTAATACACTGACTAAATTTATGTACTATTTGTAAAAGAACGAAACTTAATCAGATAACAAATGAACCTAATGTAAAATGAGTTGGGCGGAAATTTGCAATTTATATTGAAATTGTCAATTATCTTGGTCCTTCAATGTTTATTATGTAACTGATATGATGCCCAAGAATAAGTTCTGACGCTCATGTATTAATTGATTGGTGAGTGACCTACAAACTGATTTCTTCCAAAGACCTATGATAATTTATCACTTTTTCTGTTGGTATTTTTTATACAAATATGTCATTTCAGTAGATAGTAAACCTATTCTTCTGGCTAGTGGTCTTGTCTTTAATCTCAAATCATTCGATGACTCAAGTCAACGATTCAGTCTCGTAGACAGCTATCCCTCAGTCACATCGTATCATTGCAGTTCATTTATCGATCAGCACTATTTTCTGTTATATCACGATTGAAAATCCATTCATAAAATCATTGGAAACTCATTCCATAACAGGAGCCATACATTTTTCTTAGCCAATGCTCATCTCATAAAAATATAAAATGAAACTGTTCAAATAATCCATGCCTATTCAAAAATCATTTGAATAACATTGCGATAAAATCACATAACTTATTGATGAACCTATTTTCAAATTAGTATCAAAAGGGTTCAAGAACATTAAATAATCATCAAAGTAGAAAGGTATTTCAGCATTTTTGTATTTATTTACTACCTAATACTTTTAATATCTTATTGTTTTCTTCTTACAAAGAATGAATCACAAAATGATACTTCAATAATACAACCGAACATTCCTCTAGCGCCACGTTCACGTTCGAAACGACGCGCTCCCCCACCACCGCCATTACAATCATCATCTACAGCATTGAACATTATTACAACGACTAACACTACTACTGCTACTAATAATAATATAATGTGTTCATCATTAGATCAAACAATCAATTTGTCCTCTTTGGATATTGGCAGCAATATTTCAAAGACCGATAAGTTATTCATCAATGGCATCTCTGCTCCATCGCATGAAAATCATGTTGAAGAAACATCAAATGATATAACATTAAATTACAATATTAAAATAATTCGAGAGGATTCTATGGGCAGTAATGATGATGATGATAATGGTGATAAGACTGCGAAATACAATAGTTCTGTCAGTATAAATCATAATGGTCAATTATCCTCTTCTATAAACGATAATGATAAGACATTAACACCAGCTCCACCCAGACCTCCACCACCTAAATTAAATAATAATCATACTGGTGTAACGTCTTTGCCAACACCTCTTCGAAATAGTAAACAAAATGACGACTCATCAAAGCATATTTCACGTCAACACCAATTAGAAATGGGTATTGGTCTTCCTCCTACTCCAAAAGTTCATGTAAATTATTATTATTATTATTTAATATAATTGCGTATAGCTCTTTGTTTTTTTTTAACAAAAAAATATTATCAAAAAGGGGTTTTGTGTAGATTTTAGTAATTTAATAGTTGAAGTCATGAGTCAATTTCATTACAAACCAATATTCATTGTAGAATCATCATTCATAAAGAAAAATGCCAAATTCATATAAAAAACATATATAATGCATAGTTTTTGTTTTTTAAATTTCTAGGCAAAATGATACTTTTTTTATAGTTGAAATCATGAGTCAATTAAAGCTAGACCACCATGGAAAACCTGGAAGCACTGGACGGCCGTTTCGTCCTATTATGATACTTGTAAACAAAAGTGATAAAAGGTTAATAACAAAACGAAATAATGAACAAATTAAAGGAAATTATAATTAAGTGAACATGTGTAAAACTGATTATATTCTACATTCAAGTTTATTTGGAAGATTTTGTAATTTATACGAATCGTGTCGACAATGTCATACTCGATACACTGAATGATATTATTAATTCACAAACAAATATTCAGTTAATGGTACTGTCCCTAGAAATATAAATTAGTGAAATAAAAACAATACCATTATTATGCATTAGCAAAAATAAAAGGATATATAAACACTTCAGCTCTGTTTATTTGTTTACTTTATGAAATCTGAATTTCTAACCAGTTTTTCCGTTATTACATATCTTCTCATCTACAGATGGGTGCTTGTTTTATGCAAATATTTGAAGGTTGTCCATTGAAAGTGAACTCAACTGCTACATGGGTAAATCCAGAAACTTTAAGTAAGTAGTTTATCTTTTCAACTGACTACTTCAACGGTGTTTATAATGTGAAATAAATCTTACTAGTTTGATTACTATAATTCCATTTAGGTCTGTATATTTAACAAGAAAATAAATAGTTAGGTGAATAATAAATAAATTTTTTGTTATATCCCAATGTGTAGAAAAATTGTGTTTTTGACGTTTTGTGACTTAATGTAAGCCACTTTTTTCTACTCATTGTGGTATTAAAAAATATAATTATTATTAACTTTCTATCCAATGCTCAATTTATTTGAAAATATCAATTCTAACCTTGGCATCGAGACCTATAAATTGTTAAGTGATTATTATTGCGTCAATAATAGAACATCATGCAACTTGATTTGAGTGAACGTTGAAATTAAAATAAATTACGTGTAAAATGTGACTATTTGTATTTCATGCTGTACCACATGACATACTTTGATGCCAAAATTGTGAATGGTGTTTACAAGTAGGATTGTACTAACTTAACACACACTAGACTGATTAGTATTACTTTGATCCATTCAACTTCATAATCGTACAACATCGGTTTTTAGTCTTTCAATAGGTACACTTTATTGTTGTAATTATACGTTGCTTATGTATTCCAAGTTGTAAAGTATCACATTATTAATAGAAATTTAACATTAGTTTTGTCCTTCATTTTAAATAACTACATCTCTTAGAAGCATAATACAATTGTACAATTGCTTTCCTTATATCAATTCTGTTATCATTTCGTATGCCCGATAATATCTCGCATTAATTTGCAACTCAACCATACATAATTTACTTTTTTTTCTAACGTTTCATATTTTCATACATTTAAGTTTTATCATTTCGACAGCAAATAAATCAAATAAATCAGTGCCTTGTTTTATTTTTGGATAGAGACAAATTAAACTTTATTCAAGCCCTAAATTATAGTTATATGTATTTTGAAATTCAGGTAAATAACTATAATCTCTCAAATAAGCTCATTAAATTAAAAATAACTTTGTAAAAATTAATTTCGATATGAGATTAGTATTAGGGTAATTGCTAAGGTTAACCAATTAGATATTTTTGAATACTTCTTTTTGAAAACAAAGAAACAATGTAATTAAATAACTGAAAATCAAATGTTTCGTTGAATTGAATTGATTATTTTGGTTTTACAGAGTTAATTGGTCTTATCCATTTGTCCATACGAAAAAAATGATCTCGTATGCGAAGTACAAGTTTACTCACTGAATTCCCAACAGTATTTTTTTTATGTAAGGACCAGTGATACTACCATTTGGTTGTTTAAATTAAAGTAAGCAAAATGAAATTTAAACCAGTGACCTATTAGTTGAAGGCTGAATGCTTTCAACACGTACCCACTGCTTCATACCGAAGTATTTCAATCAATTTAATGTTTTGTTACACATACTTGACATATCCTACAATTATTTTATTTTAAGAAGCTTATCATTTTATCTGATAGTTTATCCTGTGTAATATTTACATCTCTCAAGGATTGAATACTTATTATTTGATAAAGATATTCATAGACTTAACACATAATTGATTCGGTTGTTTAACCCAAAATATTTCGTAAGAAAACATTTTCCTCAATTGTATTATATAGATTCATGTTGTAGATGGAAGGGACGGCCAGTTTAATCTTTTACAAAGGCAATAATTCCAAGTTGGCAAATATTATTTTTCGTACTCTATTCATTTCAAAACTTCTTGTAATTCATTTCATCATAATTAACATAAATACGTAGATAAGATGATTGACAAACTCTTTATCAATTCGTCTTTCACCTAAGACAGAGGTTTAGTGATGAAGGCATTTAACTACCGGTTATCAGTTCGTAAGTTCGAATCCTTCCCCACTTCAGTGCAGACACTTGAGTATCAGTAACTCCTTACACGATTAAAATGTACCTCAAAAGCCAAACACACACAAAATAGTATGTGTCAAGTGAATTATACTAAATTACTAACATTTTAATGGTGACCGGAATAAGATATTCCAAGTATTTCCCATCATCATGCACTAGGCTATCTAAAAACACTCCTTATTTTATCGAGATCCTTGCTTATCAGGGTTGTTATATATACATATTTCAAATTGACTAGGTCATCCTTAGAAAGTACATCTGATCGTCTGGAACCACTTGCAGTGAATAAATTTATACACAAAGCTCTATGATTTCACTAGCGACATACTTTCAGACCATATTTTATTCACCAGTATTTAGTATTATATGCAGTTAAATGCCTATATCAATAACAATAACAAAATTTAGTGAAAACTTCTCCCATTATAACATAAATATAATCAATTGAGAGGGAGAGAGGAAGAGTGAAACATTTTTATTATCGGATAAATTCTTCAACATATTTTGCTATTTCATAACCATAACTAGTTAAATATCATAATAAAGTTTTTCCGCTCAATAATGACAAATATATTTTCATAGGTAAAAGCGTATATATATTTTTGTAATTAACATGATAAAATATTTCAAATACGAAAAATCTCCATTTAACAAAAAAGAAAAGGGATTCTTTTCGAAATCAGTTTGTAGGAACTATTAGATAAAGGTGTGTAAGGTGGCGGTATACAATTTTGTAAACATTCCATTCAGTGTGATTTTTGTAGAATAAATAATTTTTATTGGTAATGAAAATAACAAGTAGGTGGGTAACGAAATACTTGGAATTTTCTTTAGATGTCTGCACCTACGCGGGTATTTGTTTCTGTTTATATGTGTATATGTATGCAAATTTATATAAGTAAATTTCCACTGCATAATAATATTATTATTGGTTATTATGATTACTACAGGTTAAATAAATTGTTCATTATACGTAGTTGTGGAATGGTTATGATTGCATCGAATCAACTCAAGTAGTAACAAATATATTCCTATGAGGGGATATGTACAAGGAATATTAACTAGGATTGATAATGTTTTCCCTTAAATAACACTTGTTATGATACGGTTAGTAGTTTGTTCTTGCCCCCAAATTCCCTGGTACGGCCGAGAGTGGGGAGAGTCCTCTCTCCCTCTCGAAATGCTCTCACATGACCACGCGTATATAGCGTCTGCCAGTAAGTCTTACTGCCTTCGTGGCGGGGGTGTTGTTTACGAAAGTGGGAGGACGAAAAGCGAATGTCCGGTGCTTTAACCTGGTCGTTGGACACGGAAAGTCCACCTAGAAGAGTTGGAAAACCCTAATTCCGAACCAATGGTGCACATGGGCTCCAGTATCCTGAGGGAACAAGTTGAGTATGAATCAATCGTTGGTCACTGGCCACCATGGGACTGCATCTGCTTACGATGCTCAACTGCCTTGTGGATCAGACCTTCAGGTCAAAGGCTCAGGGTATGGCCCCCTGAAAAACCACAGCCCTCACACAAATCGAATGAGATTTGTGCGGCGCATATATATCTTTTGCTTCCTTGTACCAATATTTATGTGTTTAAATAAATAAAACATTTTTTACCAAAAGGCATTTGACTGTTAATTTTATGCTCAATTATGAGAGTGAATTCATTGTAAAACTATCTGTTTTCCGTATTGATCTACTTCTGCTTTCTACATAAACTGTTATGGGTTATATCTGTACATATTTATCCTATATCTAAGGATGTTTACAATTATTTAAATAAACTAGTCACTACTTTATCGTTTCGAAAATCGAGCACAGTTAAGTCATCCTAAAATGGCATTACCTGCTTCAGTCTGGGCACCTGAGCAGTATCACAGCCCTCACACAAATCGAATAAGATTTGTGAGGCGCATATTTATCTGGTGCTTCCTTGTACCAATATTTATGTGTTTAAATAAATAAATATAAGTAAAAATTAACAAAATCTACACAGGTATAACAACCTTTTAACCAGTGTCTTTTTGTATACTTGTTTTAAGCGAACAATTAAGTTGTAGTGGCTTTGCTTTGCTAATCGTTCACCTCGATAGCCGTTATAATATAAATCTCAACGGTATTTGAAAGTAGAAGACAAAGAGAAGCTGCAACTACTGTTTATTAGCGGATAGTGCAGATCACAAACCTATAAGCACATCAAACGGATCTGGCGCAGAGAGGCGAATTACGTAGGCAAATTAATAGTCAAATAGTATAAGGGCGCACAAGGCAAAGCAAAAGCTAATAGGATTTGAGTATACATATATGGGGAGGAGAATGAGTCTTCGGGTGGTATATTTAAGCAATCAACGTTTTAGCTAGTCTGTCATGTGCTCTAGCGATAAAAGCGGGATAAAGAAATAGGCGAATTGTTACTATTCCAGTAACATTGTCTGCTTGGCCAAAATTAACCGTAATCGAAATTGATTGTAGGATAGTTGCTATAATGTATTTGCAGAAAAAAAACAATGAAACTCTTATTTGTTTGAAGTGAAAGGCACTTGGTTCGAATCCCAGAGTGAACATCAAATCTGAGATGCAGATACATCCATCTGACGAGTCCCAAATAGGACGAAACGCGTGTCCTGGATTCCACTGCTAGCCACTATCCATCTTTGCTTACCATGCTTCTAATTTATTTGTTGTTACTATAACGGAGTAAATATTGAGCACAACTGAACCTTTAAAACTGTTCTACAGGAAATTATTGTCTCATTTTTACTGTCTATTTACCAAATACGTGAATTATTGCATATATGTATTCCACTGGTTGTAGGTTATCGTTTGACTTATAAAATATTGTTATATGTTTTAAGTTTTTCAAGTTACTTGGTTATCTTCCACTTATGGGGTGGATATGCCTACGTTTTAAGTTCTTAATCATATTGACGTATGGTTTGAAATGTTTTCTGTTTTATTGTGAGTCATAAAACTAAATTTTACAGATAAAAGTTGAGAAATCTGCTGTGTCGTTGTCCTGTTTTAGCTATTGGGCAAGCTAGCTTAGGAAAACTGCATTCGTGAACTAATAAGCGTTAAGTATTGATCTCGGTCGTTATCTCACTGTCATTGAGTCGAGACATCCGAAAAGCTGTGGAAACAGCAGTGATATTCGCTAGTAAGGTAAGCCATAAGGTCAGGGAGAAACAATGGATCTCGGCAGCATCTACCGCACTGATAGATGCTCGTAAACTCATCCCACCTGGCTCTGAACATAACGAAGAGCGGAGTCAACTTAAGCGCAGGCTTATAAGAAGCCTACGTAATGATCGTGAACAGTGATGGGTAGCGAAAGCAAGGGAGATGGAAAAGGCAGCGGCAATAGGTAACAGCAGACAGCTGTTCAGACTTATTGAAGAAACCGGCATTAGGAACCCAACTATTAGCGAAACTATCTCAGACAAAGACGGGCATATCATTCATTCTCAATCCAGGAGATTGGATCGATGGGCAGAACACTTTAGGGATCAGTTCAACTGGCCTTCAGCCACACTTCAATTACCTACGATCCCCAGTCGTCCTGAATGACAAATTGATGTAAGTCCTCCAACCCTCTGTGAGGTTGAAAAAGCTATAGGAAATCTGAAGCGAGGGAGAGCAGCAGGCCCTGACAGGTTGACCCCTGAGATTTTTAAGGATGGTGGTCCAGTACTAGCAGTGAGATTGACTGAGGTCTTAGGTAGAATCTGGGAACTGGACGTAATTCCATCTGACTGGTCCCAATCGCTGATTGTGCCAGTCTATAAGAAAGGACGAAAGTCCTCCTGTGACAATCACAGAGGGATCAGTTTGACTAATATAGTGTCTAAAATATTAGCTTCAATAATACTAGGTCGCCTAACCAAAGCTCGTGAAGAGCAGACTAGAGAAAACCAGTCTGCATAGACCAGATATTCACCCTACATCAGGTCCTAGAACATAGACACAAATTCAGATGTCCCACAATCGTAGTATTTCTTGACCTTAAGGCGGCATTTGACTCCGTTGATCGTGAGGTTCTATGGCAGTGTTTGTCAGTGAAAGGAGTACCAAAGAAGTACATTAACCTCATAAAGGCTCTCTACTCGAACACAACTGGTCGAGTTAGAGCCTATGGCGAACTGTAATCAGAATTGGTTACTTCAAGTGGTGTCTGTAAGGACTGTCCACTCTCCCCATTCTTGTTTAACTTTGTCATTGACATACTTTTAGAGATAGCACTTTCATCAGCTGAACCTCCAGGAGTTGAACTTTTACCGGGAGGCTCACTTGTTGACTTAGAATACGCGGACGACATAGTTTTATTCGGTGAAGACGCTGACAACATGCAGAGTCTTCTGACCACTATAAGCAACTATGCAGGCATGTTCGGGATGCGATTCTCTCCCTCGAAGTGCAAAATGTTACTTCAGGATTGGGTTACAGCGACACCTGAACTAATGATAGGGAGTGAAGTAGTTGAGCGTGTAGACCACTTCACTTATCTTGGGAGACCCATCAGCCCTTGTGGTCTGGTATGTGACGAAATCTCAGCACGGATACAGAAGGCTCGTCTAGCTCTCGCCAACTTGCGTCATTTATGGCGTAGGCGAGATATCCGTCTAGCAACCAAAGGACGGGTTTACTGTGCAGCAGTTCATTCCGTCCTACTTTATGGCAGTGAAACATGGCCAATAAGAGTAGAGGATATTCGTAGGCTACTAGTGTTTGATCATAGGTGTCTTCGAAGGATTGCTCGTATATCCTGGGATCACCGGGTAAGTAATGCAGTTGTTAGGAAACGAGTACCAGGTAAGGATGGCAAATCGATTGATGAAGTAGTGAAACTTGATCAGTTGAGATGGCTGGGACATGTGTTACGTATGCCCAACCACCGACTTCCCCGACGTGCAATGTTTCATGGTGTAGGAGTAGGTTGGAAGAAAGTTAGGGGTGGCCAGACCAAAACGTGGCACAAATCCATGAAGTCACTGACAAGTGGACTGGGCCATGTTGGTAGGTGTAGACTACCTGGTTGGGATTCGCGAGATGATAGCAACCGATGGTTAGAGACCTTGAATGACATGGCTCAAAATCGTTTGCAATGGCGAAGGTGCATCCACTCTTTGTGTTCTACCAAATTCTAATCTTCTGAATTCCTCATGTCTTTATCTTTTTCTCTTTCCAAATTTATTTCACTGTACTATACTCCTTCAATAATTTCTTCAAACCCTAATCTTCTGGATTTCTGATTATACTCCTACTACTTCTACCACTATGGGATTTGAATCGACAACTGCATCTGTGTGCTAATGTGGTATGGCAACTCGAACTGATGTACGTACGTACGAAGTTCTACGTTGTGACTGACTGACTGACTGACTGAGTCGTTGGTTAAAGAAAGGTCATTATGTTCATTGGTCCTACTCTGGGAATCCAGGGACATTAATCAATGCTCAGATTATAATAATCATAAAACTGATCCCATAAATACAGCTTGGTCACAAGTACTTCAATAATATATGAGAAACGATTTTTTTTGTCGTCATGCTAGATATAAATTCCGAGAAAGAAATAGGTGTAAATATATCCTGGTGGCCACGCGACTTTAACATTCTATTGTTGGATCCACTACTTCATACTTATAACTGGTGTAAATTAGCCTTCTCTAAATAAAGGTAAAGCTGTATCTGATAAATTTAGTATATTGTATAACTGTTCTACTACGCCCTATATCCACTGTACTTCTGATAGTTTAAAAGGCTAAACAGACAAATAGCAACCTGCAATACTATATGGATTAATTGATATTTTTACTGAGGTAATTACATAAATTACTTAATATGGGATTTTTTTAGTTGTATGATATGAGATAAAGCATATATATATATATATATATATATATACCATTCGAGGAAAAAATTTACTGGAACCAAACTACACATTATCCTTCATCAGTTCCTCAAAGTTTTCATGATCAAACACTTTTTCTCTATTCCATTACACCATTAATTACTGTATAGATAACAACAATATACAAAATAGTACACTGCACATAAATCGTCAAATCTATTAGTTGGTTTAATATGATTATTCTGTATGTAAATGATACATATCTTGGATCCCGTGATTTAATTCATTAACTAATCTCTTTTTTTTAAAAATACATCGTTTTGTTGCTCTCGCGTTCACTTACATCAATTGAGTGAGAGAGTACACGTATATAGGAGGTGGGTAGGCGTCACAAAATTTTATGACTCAACCATTAAAAAAATCAATTCAAACGATTACTTATTGCTTCAGTTATGCTTTATTTTATTGTATTAAGCAATTATCCATTTTAATTGATTAGGATAAAAACTATATGCCTTAGTATATAAGAACTCTCGTCTAAATTAGAACGAATAGTTTCACAGTATTTGAGCGCCGAGTTGAAGTAAGACATTAAATATATTAAATATATGCCTTAGTAATAATGCTGTTAAGCAACTGGTTAACATTTTTATTTTGTTGTTCATATTTCAAACAGTTTAGACTTTTTTTGCTTATTTTTCACTGAAAGCCATCATCATCACTATTACATATGGTAGTATATGTAAATAAGATGAAAAGAAATTAGGGGTAGGGAGAAGCTTATTAGTTCGACTGTCATTTAGTGGAGAAAGTTTATTGCCACTGATATTGTGTGTGTTTATTGCACATGGAACAATTTACCATACTATGCTACCTTTACTTTTCTCCTAAAGGTCAAATCATTCTGTTTGGCACAAACGATGGTATTTATTACCTTGATTTAGTCAATTTAGCTGATGGTACACTAGAATTGGTAAGTGTGTTTTATTTTCTTTCTTCATTTATTCGTATTCGCTTATTTTATTGTCTGGTTACAAAATTAATTGATTGATGCAATCAGTAAATTTCTTGTTGCTTTGGTTGTGCGCGCATCTATGTGCTTACAAGTGCATTCATGTAATTATAGTATGTTGACTATTTATAATATATCACTAGAACTAATTGTTGCTATCATGATAGCTTTGAAACTATCTGACAAAATTACCGTTAGGAATATTTATATACACCATTTAGACGAAGATCGAAGCCTATATGTTTTAGTTGCCTGTGAAAATTATTTAATACAACTTTAAACCTCCGTTAACTACGGTGGTTGATGAATGTGTTACACAGAAAATCCAATCTCTGCCTACCCGAATATGTACTATTACCTAATTTAGGTGTTGATTAGCAGGATAAAAGTGGCCATATCCGCAAGCCATAGTTCGGGTACTCGACCGGCACAAATTCCAATCGATTTAAGCGATACAGATTTTTTCATAGTTTTAATTCTATCTGATTTCATTTGTTTTCAAACTGCCTCCTCATGATTAAATTACAACTAATCTTGATATAATCATTGCAACTCTTAATTTCCATAATTTCATTCTTCCTTTTACTGTACTAATATGAAGTCTGCTAAGTTGGACTAATACACATTTCTGTCATGTCCTATGATGATGACTAACTTACTTTACTCTCATTGAAAAAATGTGATTTGTTTAAATAATGACTACAACATTACTGTTCATCTGACTAGAATAAGTGATGACATTTCTTAAGTGCTATTTATCGTCTTTTTTTAACTTTATTCCATTTTTACTGTTGTGCGTTGATTTTGTGTCGTTTAAAAATACTTCATGGTAGAAAATTCAAATTTCAACCCGAACTGTCTTTTCATTCAATGTTTCAATTATAAACTGTCCAATAATTTGTTTGCTGTTTAGTGGTTGTATTTTTGACACAGTTTAGTGACATTATCAATAACCAAACTACGTAGAGCGAAAAGAAGAACTATCACCGTATTTCGATAGACGAATTTCATATATATATATATATATATATATATATATATATATATATATATTGATCGCTGATTAGCGACTATTGCCATGTTTGTCTGGCCTTCTAAGCGTTGGTTGAGTTCTGTCAGTCAAGTTACAATACGATCACTAGTTTAAGTTACTTGACGTGGTGTGCACTATGTTGAGATATTAGTGGTCTCGGGTTGCGTAGAATTTGATCACCACTTAATGAGCTAAATAAATATGACACTGGTTATTACTCACTGACCAATCAGTTTTCAATAACTCATTTCATTAGGAGGTCAATCGCTGCCAGAATAGCTTAGTGGTAAAGTCTCAGATTGTAAAATTGAGTGATACAGATTCTCATCACGTAGACAACATCAGTTCTCCAAACACCACAAGTTCTCCTTGCTGACAAGTGCTTACTACAACGGGACCCAAGTCCATGGTTTCTTGTCCGCTGCCTCCAACAACCTAACATACAATATTTTCTCTATCTAGAAACTTATATATAAAGTTTCAATCTATTTTGCATATATTCCCTGAGTAGTATAGAACTATCTTACCAACCTCACAATTATGGAATTTTTGTTTAAATTAGATAACCAATTTTTTAAATAGCCAACCTAGATATGACTTTGTCCATAATAGTTAAATTGTGTTTCAATAGTTTCTTTTTTATATTTTAGTTAGTTTGTACATATCAACTAGTTATGAACGCTTGAGTGTATGTGGGTACATGCGTGTGTAGATGTGTTTCAATTCTCAGTTTTGCATGGAAATCATTAATTTTCTACCCTTTTTTCTATAGAATACTTGACTTCAGTGATATGTATATTATGAACAAAATTTATTATTGTTCGTGTTTATGTTTTAAATTCACTGGGACTCTTCTCGTTTTCCAAAGATCCGGATTTCGTGTAAATTCATCAACTTCTTTTTAGCGGTCATGTCAAAATCGACAATTCCAAAAATAAAGGATTCCCTACATTGTGGGAAAATGCGTGATTAAATATAAAAAACGTATCGAAAGTAAATTGGTATTTCCTAACTGGTTGTAGATGAAGGTTAGGATTTATTATTTATTTATTTAAACACATACGTATTGGTACAAAAGGGCACCAGATACATATGCGCCACACAAAATAATGAAAGTAGGAAGAGAAGGGATGAAAAGATAAGGCGGACTGAAATGTACAACCAGAAGACTTTTTCAGTTAAGAAAGTTAGAACCACTCTTTATGGAGAAAGTAAAAGAAGGTTACAGCAGGTTCGCCACTGGCTTCTGCGGACACTGATTGCCAACTGATTAAGTGCGGATTGCATGCCTTGGGCATTATCGCACAGTAAGACAATATCATCCGCATACTCGAGGTCGAGAAGTCGTTCTCCAGGCAACATATCCACACCGCCATTACTTACATCCATCAGAGCTGTTTCCAGGGTGTCTTCGATGGCAAAGTTGAAGAGGAATGGTGAGATCGGGCAACCCTGCCTAACACCACTGCTCGAATGAAACAAGGGAGAAAGGTGGTTGTATGCCCTCACTCTGCCTGAGGTGTTTGTATACAGGGCCTTTAAGATGTTAATGAACTTCTCAGGCACACCGTTCTTCAATAAACAATCCCAGAGAACAGTCCTGTCCAACGAATCGAAGGCCGCCCTGATATCAAGAAACACTACGATTGTTGGTCTGTAATAAGTATGACGGTGTTCTAACATTTGGCGGAGGGTGAAGATGTGATCAATACGCCCTCAACCAGAACGAATACCAGCCTACTCCTAGCGAGTCAATCGTTCTCGGGTTTTAAACAACCTACGAAGAATGACAGAAGCCAATAGTTTGGACGCAATCGGAAGTAGACTTATCCCCCGATAGTTGTTACAGAAACAACGTGAACCCTTTTTAAAGATAGGGACGACTATTGACTCATTCCATGATGTTGGAACACTTTCTTGCTCCCAAACCTTTGCAAACAACACCGTCAGTTCCTTAGTCAGAAAGTCACCACCATCTTTAAAAAGAGCCGGAGGTAAGTCATCTGGGTCCGGTGATTTGTAACGTTTCAAGAGTTGGAGTTCCTTGCGGACTTCCGCCTCGTTTGGTGAATCAGTCGTCACCGGCCATGGGGGGCAGGACAAACTGGTTGATGTTGCCGGAGCAGCAGGCCAGTTGAACTGCCCTTCGAAAAATTCCACCCATCGTCCAAGACGTCGAGAGACGTTAGTGATTGGCATCCCATCATCCTCGTAGATTGTTTCACTCACACCAGACTTCTTGCTGCCAGTGGCTCGGATGAGTTGGAAGGGCTTCCGGCAGTTACCAGATGCAGCTGCTGCTTCCATCTCATTAGCACGCTCCGACCACCAGGCTTCTCGGTCCTTACGCAAGCTTTGCCCGATTTCATTACGTAACAGCCTTCGTTTGTGGTCATATTCACGGTCACCCGGAGTAGACCGACGGGCTTCGATGAGTTGTAAGGAGCCAGAAGAAACCCAGTGCTTGTAAGCGGGACGTTTCGCGAAGCCGCAAGCGACTTTACTCGCCATTTTCATGGCGTCGTGAAGATGCAACCAATGCTCATCTATACTTTTCGGTGGGGTGGTAGCTAGCCTAGAGGCTAGCTCCGCTCGATACTTACTTGCAACAGAAGTTGCAGCCAGTTTACTAACATCGATCCGTTGGTGGTGGTCAATCGTTCGGCCACTGAAAAGTAAGGTGAGATTGGCGCAGACCAGGGCATGATCAGACTCCAGATAGGTACTCCAAAAGGAGCGGCAGTCTTGTACACAACCACACCAGTGGTAGATGATCGCGATGTGATCAATCTGAGTCCAGGTGGCACACCGGCGATGACTGTGTCGAAAGTTAGTGCTGGCCAGAAACAGGTTGTGGTCTGTGCACAGTTGCAGCAAACGGTCCCCGTTATCTGTCCTGCGACCAACAAGTCCCCATCGGTCACCCAAACGACTCTCTTCTGTGCCTAGACGCCCGACTTGAGCATTCAAGTCTCCGGCTAATACTACAATATCTGTCGAACGCGCTTTCTGAAGAACTGCTAACTGGTGGTAAAACTCATCCTTGATTGCATCCGGGCTGCAATCTGTCGGGGCATAGGCGGAGATGACGAAAAGACACCGTTTCTCACGCCGGTTTCTTCTCACTTTGATGGAACTTTCTAATCTAACAGCACATAACCGACTGTTAATGGGGATCCAATCGATTAGTGCTGCCTCCGCCCTAGCGCTCAGTGCAACACCAACGCCAGCAAGACCAGACGAAGATGTCACAGGGTCCCCGGATAAGCGCACGTGAAACAAGCTTTTCGAAGCGACAGATGGAGAGCGAATTTGTAGTACTTCACTAGAGTCTTGAATACGGGTCTCGGATAGACAGCAAACATCAACATTAAGACTTTCTAAAGACACAGCCAGCCCCATTTGTTGTCCGATCTGCATTAGTGAGTGAACGTTGAAGGAAGCCAGCTTGAACGGCGTACGTGGTTTCAGAAAGACTGTTTCAGTATTCGTAATCGGTGGAAGCATTCACTTTCAACCAGACAATGACTGGAGATCGTTTAGATAGGACAGAGTTTCCACCGTGGGCGATCTACTGCATAAGTTGGAAAGGAAGGATACACAATTTGGGAATAAAGGGAGTGAAAAGCGACGTAGTAAATAATAATAGTAATAATAATAATAATGGTAATAATAATAATAATGTAAATTGTCTTTCTTCTACTAGGAACAAGAGCAGTGTAGTTAGTGTAGTGCGTCATTTCATGTCATTTGTGTGTGGGCTGTGATACTGCCCGTGTGCCCTAACCGAAGCAGGTGGTTTTCTTAGGGGGCCACACCCCGAGACTTCGACCTAGAGGTCTAACCCACAAGGCAGTGGAGCATCGTGAGGAGATGCAGTCCCATGGTAGCCGGTGACCAATAACTGGTTCATTCGCCATTCGTTCTTTCAGGATACGGGAGCCCATGTGCACCATTGGTTTGGAATCAGGGTTTTCCAACTCCCCTAGGTGGAGTTTCCGTGTCCACCAACCCGGTTATAGCGCCGGACATTCGCTTTTCGTCCTCTCACTTTCGTAAACAACACCCCCACCACGAGAAGACAGTGAGTAGGACTTCCCTGGCAGAGGCTATATACGCATGGCTATGTGAGAGCATTTCAAGAGGGAGAGCGGAATCTCCCCACTCTCAGCCGTACCGGGGCATTTGGGGTCCTAGGTTAGGAAGGATGGATTGTAAAGAAGAAATGCATTTTTCTGTGCCTTTATGTAGTTAACATCACAATCTCACAAATACGTAACTGAATTATCGTGTGCCACTAAGTTACATGCTTTTTTGCAATCAATTGGATTCTAATTTCTTATTTATTTGTAAACAGACATAAATAACGTAGAATCCTAGTACAAATATTTTTCCGTCCAAGTTTCGACATTACCACAAAAACAAATAAATGTGATTTTAAAACATTAGAACTCGTCTAAAATTAGAATGAGGATAAGAAAACCTATAGGAAAAGAATAAAACTGAGAGTAGACAATATAATATAGTACCATGTATAGCAACTTTATAGAATATAATGAATGAGTATACTTGGATCGTTTCGGTCAATTTCGTTCCATGTTCCCTAAGCTCTGTATTCGTTAGTTACAATTTCCTCAATCACCTTCCAGTACACCTTATTCCAACTAGTCGATGACTTTGTAGACTGGTGTTGTCTTCTAATCCAGTCCTCTCTAGTACTTGTATATAATAATTAGTTGAAAAAGGTAAAACAAACGTTTTGTAGACATAACAGGTGTTACTTACTAATATACTTCATTATTATTGATTTACACCATTTGGTTAGTGAGTACTCTAGTTGTTATAAAAATATATGTATAAGTTCACAAGTGCATAATCTTTCAATCTTTTTACGAAGACTGCTTCATAAGATTATTCTTTTGTTTTTCATTAATTAGCTCGTTCCAAGACGATGTCTTTGGTTATTTGTATTCAAAGATACAATGATGTCAATATCAGGTCAACATCCGCAATTATTCAGTCATAATTTAATTTCATTAATGAAAAGTCGAACATCACAAACACGATTTCTTCATAAGTAAGTTTTAGGGGGGAAGATATGTCTCCTCTCTAGTTTTCATTTTTACGTGTCAAGAAGTTGTTTTATTTATTTTGTGTGAACCGTGTTTGTTACAATGAAAATTTCTATTATTACTGATCTCTTCTGCACAAGCTGGAAATGAAAACTTATTAAATATCCTATTGTGTGAGCATGACAACAGGAGATGCAATGCTAGACAATGTATTGTATCATTTAATTACATGTTAAAAGTGACTGAAATTCAATGAAACGTAAATTATCACTTTCTTTAACAGTTAAGTCTGTTTAAACGTGTATGATATCAATCTCTACTACATCATCTTTTTAATGCTAAGTTAATTCAACAGTTCGATTTACCGTTGATTATTATGACGTTTTCCAATTCCAACCATTTCGTAACTATAGTTCACTCGTCATTGATAATCGTTTGTTGCCATTATCGGATGAATTTTGCATATCAGTTATCGCTGCCTACTAGAATATAAAGAACAGTCTTTCATGAAAAATTCCACTAATGATAGCGAACTGCTACTCAAATCAATAGTTTTCAGGATTGTTGAATAATTTCAGTACTCCACAAAGATATATATATTAGTCATAAAAAATGACTCCAATAATCTGCATATTTGAACACATTCCGAGCCTACAGAGTAAGCGGAAACTAGATAGTCAATGAGAGTATTGTCTTTTTCTAATATGTTGTCGCAAAAATGAACAAAACACTTTATGAAGCATTTCTATCGGGCTTTAGTTCAGTTATCCACCACCCGATTATAACCTGAATAAGTCAAGAATAGTTTTCACACACGAAGGAAATAAGTTTTTTCACTAGTTTCTTGAAATCAACCAGTCGACCGTCATCGTTATGTAATCATATTTCTCTTTTTAATTATAACATGTACATAATCAGTTATATAATTGGCCTGAAAACTGTAACATTATTCCCTTATAAATTGAGCGAATGTTCAGCGACATTATATATATATATATATATATATATATATATATATATATATATATATATATATATTCGATTATTTTTATAAAGGGAGCTCGGTTTATGCTTGTTGTACAACAGCTATCGGCATCTTTTAAAACCGATAACAATTACATATATATCTCTGTATGTGTATGTACACACATCATGCTCTCTTTTGACTTTGTGACTTAGACAGTGCAATGGAAAAGATTTAATTTTTAAAATTAATTCACAAAACTTTAAATAGATTTTTTCTCAGTAAAAACAGTTGTTCTTTTCTGTACTAAAACTTTTTTGGGTTATAATTTAGACTGTCTGATATTCCGTTCGTTTTTTTCGGCAGATTATATTCAATTTCCAATACACCCAGTATTATTATCATTGTTTCGAGTCATTTTTCTTTTTCTCGTTGTATTAGTACGACTGAAAAATGTGAGATATGTATATTTGTTTTCAGACTGCTATGTTCTGTATATGTATGGTTAATTGATTCAATTATAAGCTACTTACATCCACCTCAAAATGTTATGATGTATTAGTAAAGAATGTAGAAGTTACAAGATAATAAAGTGTTTCAAGTTATCTGTTGCTAACTGAACTAATATTGATCTTAAAATAATGAATTAAGTTTATCTCATATTTGTCGTTTGATCTAGCGACTAGACATTACGTAAATCTAGTTAGTAACTTAGTGATCAAATACACTAAGTTTTCAACTGTCGAAATAGTAGAGATAATTTTTATTGCTATAAAAGATCAATGATTTTGATAAGTTTGTATTCTCTAAAAACAAGGCCTCAAGATTATATCTAACTTAATGAATACATTTTCATCAAAAACGTTTGGTCATTCAGTTTTATGAATTTATTTATAGTCCCTGTCATAAAGTAACATTAATTTTAAAACCAATGAAAACCAAAATGTATTAGACAGTTCTTTTTTGTTTCGTAAGTTGTGACAGCTCGGAATCGCTCATCCACGACCCAATACTCTCCCGTGGAATTGTGTTCACAACCTCTTCAAAATTCCTATGCCTAATTGGCATGATGCTTACCACCACTAAACAATATTTGAAATTTATTACATAAAAAAAACATCTTTAGTAAATTAGTCATCCATTGTGTCTAACTATAAGCAAAAACAAGATACGGTTTTCAGTGAATAACTAAGTGAATGTGCATGTACAATTTTGATAGCGAACATCATAACAACCAAAAAATGTGCCTTTTTAAATTAATCTATTTAACTAGTTTTGAACAGCTTGTTTTAAATTATTGATCTGCCATATGATGACGATTGATGAATGAGTGTTATGATGATTACTGAAATACAACTAAACAAAATGCACAATTTTATGTGATCAGTTAAAATTATTTCATTCCATTTATTTATATATAGTAAAACAGCAATATGTAATGTACTTTATAATCTGTGTGTTAAGTTACCATGTATAATCTGTAAACTAATGAACAGATCAGACAGTTAAATGGAATGGGGTTTTTCTGCAACTGAAAAAATAGGATTGTACCATATGTTAATCTGCACAATCGTTTCGATGTATGAAAATATAAGAATCATAAAAAGTGCTTTGATGCGTCGGGCGATAGTCGAAGACAAGTTGAACAACAACTTGGTTAATTTCCTATGGGAGAGGAAACGTGCATTAACACTGTCAAGTAAAGTTTTCTTAAAATAATGAATTAAGTTTATCTCATATTTGTCGATTGATCTAGCAATTAGACATTACGTAAATCTAGTTAGTAACTTGGTGATCAAAACCACTAAGTTTTCAACTGTCAGACAGTAGGTTCGAACCACCACTTGGTTTTAGTCAGCGAAAGAACTTTTAATTGGAAGCCTAATACACACATTTGTGATGGATTAGAGTTTAATTAGAAATTTGTCTCCTTCATCGATTGCTATTGTTTAGGTAACCCACTCTAATAAATCTTTTTTCAAATTAAATAATCAGATAATTGTTCTTTTTTTTCTTTTGTGTTATTTTTTAAAAAATTACTTACCTCTTCGGTACGTTTTGGAAATTACCTATTGTTACAATACCACTTACCTTTGTTACAAAGGTAACTAGTTTACTACATTAAATTATGTTTAAATAATTGACGTTACGCTGAACATTCACGCCTTCTTCCTCTATCGAGGAGGGGGGAATGTGGGGGTGGGTGGGTGGTGAAATGGTTTATCGAATTTTAATGTTTGTTTAATCTTCCTCTCTTTTACACGCATACTATCATATTTAAGGCGTTTTCAACCAACTGTCAAAGTTCCAGACACACGAGGTTGTTATATAGCAACTGTGGTACGTAATCAATTCAAAGGGATGAAATATTTATGTGGTGCTATTGATAAAAGTATCCTCGTTATGGAATGGTATAATCCAAGGAATACGTTTATTGAAGTGAAACGTGTAAGTCTATGTGAATATATATATATATATATATATATATATATATATATAATCCCGTTTTTAAATTTTAGCCTATGAACTAAACCCTGCAATAAGTGGAAAAAAATAGAACTTGATATCTTTTAATCGGTACACTTTACAACCATAATTATAGAACTTTGAATTCTTATATATCAGTAAGTATCAGTAAGAACAAAAGGAATATTGAATAAATCTACAACATCTTGTTCATTTTCAGTGGACATAAAACAAGTTTTTTGATCTATAGTTCTTCGAAATTCTTCGGATAAACGATTGATGAATTCTTGAATCAAACCTCTATGTATCCTATCTTACATTGTCTACACTGGAGCGACACAGGTTTTGACTATCTTAATAAATGGATATTCATAAACTACTCACTTCCCTTAACAACGTATGGATGTAGAGGTTTGTGGAGATTATTGATTGCTATTGATATTAAGAATCAGTATAAGCTAGATATCTACTTAAAGCCGAAAGCACGGACGGCCATTAAGTCCTGGTACGGTACTTCTAATCAGTGCACATAAACCTACAACTGGTGATTGAGCTCAGGACCCTCGATCTCACGCGTTAACACTGGGCTCCAATATAGGTTTGGTTGAAGTTATTCATATACGCCAATCGATTGCGGCTCAACGGTCTAGAAATCAGGTGTTTGCATGTAAGCTGAGGGTCCTGGGTTCCATCCATGATTGTGGGTTCGTGGGTGCACACTGCCTCACATTAGGACGTAATAGCTGTCCAGTGTTTCCTAGTTCTCAATAAATGTCTGTCCGTCGTATCAGTAACATATATCTATGTTATGATCATGTTTTTATTTACATAGTATCAGTCAGACCTAAGTTTGTAAGCTGTTTTGTTTACAATACTTTTTAAAAAAAATAATCTATAGAAAGTGTTAGTTAATCTCCCCATTTTAACCAGCTTCAAACAATTTGATCATCTAGTGAGAGTTTTCGTCACAGACTGACATCAACTTATGAACCCCTAAAGATCATTGTTTCGGTTTTTCTCGACAGATTTTGTGATTGTTTCAATAGATACAATATATATAGTTAGTGTATTAAATAAAACTAAGTGAAAAGCACAAATTATTTGTTAGAAGAGTCTTAAGTGGTAACAATTAATCGTAAACACTTTGAATGAAGAATCAGCGTTAATTCAAGTATTTGTAAAGAATCATAGTTAATACTTTTAGGTAGTGTTATTTTTTTCACCGCATCACAATTATGATTTTCAATATTCATTTCGGAATGTCTTACTCCTAGCTGGTTAAAATCTAGAACAAATTCCCCGCTTTTCTTTACACATAACATGGTGCTTCCGCTACGTAATTAACAGCACTTCAATCTTGTTTTCCTTAGCATGAGGATAAGAGAGGAGAGGAGCTTTGTGACAGTAGAGCTTTTCTATTCACAGGCGAGGTTAGAAACATAATGCTATAAGTCTGTTTATGCAGTATCAACGATAACCTTGGAAACATAAGATACCAAAATTGTACTGGAAAGAACCAATCAGAGAATAATGGATGTTTACGTAGTTACTGTGGTACCTAGATAGGTTGTCGTTGACTTCCTAATCCATCAGAACTTAGAATTATTAATAAAAGAAAACTAGATAAATTGAGGTCCTCCTATCGTATTTATACTATCTCCATTTCTGTTTAATTTCATCATAGAACTACTGATGGAAATAACGTTCTCGTCGACTGAATTTTCAGGAATTGACCTCCTTCCAGGAGGTCCACTTACCAACTTAGAATACGCAGATGACGTAGTCTTGTTTGGTGAAGACGCTGATAAAATGCAGTCTTTTGATAGAATTGAGCTACGATGCCAGGATGTTTGGGATGCATCTCACCTTCTCTAAATGCGAATTGTTGCTTCAGGACTGGCTGCGTCAACACATGAATTAGGGATAGGGAGTGAGGTAGTAGAATGCGTTGACAACTTCACATATCTTGGAAGTCTGATCAATCCTAATGGGTTGGTGTCTGACGAAATCTGCACGGATTCAGAAAGATCGTTTGGCTTTTGCCAACCTACGTCACCTATGACGAAGTCAAGATATCCGTATATCAATTAAAGGACGAGTGTATTGCTCATGAGTTCGTTCTGTTCTAATTAACGACTGATAAACGTGGCCATTAAAGGTAGGAGATATTATTAAGTTACTAGTATTTGATCACACATATCTAAGAAATATTGTTCATATCTGCTAGGATCACTGTGTAAGTAATAGTGAGGTTAGACGCAGGGTTTCAGGGAATGATGGTAAATCAGTTGATGAGGTCATGAATCTTCATCGACTGAGATGGTTGGGCCACGTGTTACGTATGCCTGAACACCGATTACCACGACGCGCAACGCTGACTAATGTTGGGGATGGTTGGAAGAAAGTTGAGGGCGACCGAACCCAAAGGTGGCATCAGTGCTTGAAGTCACTAACTTCTAGTCTGAGCCATGTTGGCAGATGTAGACTACTTGATTGGAGTCCTCGCGACTATCGTGACCAACGGATGGAGACTCTAGGTGACATGGCTTAGAATCGACCACAAAGGTGCAGGTGTACACACTCTTTGTCTTCCCTTAAACCGTGAGATTAAAATTGCTCTATACCTTTATTTCCACGAACTAATTCTTTCTTCCTTTATTATATCCTTATACGCAATCTTTCTTTTGTATATTACTACCATTGAAGTAACTACTTCTATGAATTTGGTGTTGATATTGTTGTGCTAATGAGGTTTGGCAATTTGAACCGATGCATAAATGTGCCTGGTACTACGTTGTAGCTGACAGACTGACTGATTTGTACATTTTACATACTGATAATAAAAAAAATCAGTTTTCTCGGATTAACATATATATTTCTTACTGACGGTTGTCAATTAGCACGAAACGCGAATCTTCTGGATACCTTGGCAACTGCCATCAATCATCAAATTTATCGGCAAACCTAGGCAACATTACCCTTAGCTACTACTTTTTGATAAATCTATTTAAAGTTTTAATACGTCTATCAATTAGAAACTCTGAGTTAAGAATGGTAATGAAATATGATTGTTACTCATCCACTTCTTTCTTCCCCGTCCACTAATGACAGAAGTTCTAGCCTGTCTAAAATCCTTATTGTTAGATACCGAAGAAAAATGATTCATGTTCAAGTCCACTCAATTACATAATGAATACTTTCAGTGATCATTACTTAGGAAACTTGTCAAACAGAATAAATGTCGCCTTACCAAAAAGTCAGTGAATTAATGAAAGTGCACTATAGGTCAAATGAATAGAATTCACACGGAATCAGTTGGTATAATCAAAGTGCACTGAAAATAAATAAACGAAAATCGCTTTAATCAATATATGAATTCCAATGCTGATTACTTCCTAATCAGTTGTATTTGAATATTTAATATCGCCAACACTTATTTAATGTTGTAATTATCATGGGTCCAATTAAAATTGAACCGTTCACCTCCCTCGTTTGTTTAACCATCTGCTACGTGGGTCTATCTACCCTTGCTGTGTCATTTCTATAATTCTTTCTACTTTATTGTTCTATTATTAGTAGACTGGAAGTGTCTGTCACCATTTGTAAGTTGCTTAACGGTATCGTACGTTTCGCCACTACGCATCATCGTAACTGGTTAAAATGCCTTTTCCATTTGTCCCTTCTAACCGCCACCTCATATATTACCTGAACCCATCTCCCAATTATTGACCACTCTGTCTGTGCTATGCTTTGGTCTGTAGTCTCAGGTATACAGGAGATCCGACGTTGATTATATAGGCTTACGATGGTACCACTTTATCACAACTAGTCCTTCTTGGTAATTTCTCAATTTGCGGCCTATTAGGATTTCTACTGTCGCTTTTCGACTCGAAAGTGAGTCTTTGAATCTTGTATCATACATAAGTAAAAGGTTGTGCAGTATCTCGACTGACTTTCTGTCCCCCTCAGATTTCAACAGTCCCTTTTGAGTGTGTCCACAAGTTGCTCTATTAGTTTGGTTGACTGAGGACGGTATAGCGATGAACGGATCTGTGTGATGGGGGTTTTCTCCAGAAAAATTGATAAGAGTAGTTATAGGTAAATTGTAACACATCTAACAGTATGGTGTCCGAAACCTCGTTCCGACAAAAAAATGATCTATCAGTAACTAGAGAGTTATATTTTTCTGTGTCACCATAAAGAGAACAATTATCCACAATGCATAATGGTTTACATTGGTTAAGAAGTTTCTTTAGCTATACATCAAGAAGATTCGGTGTTCATCCATTCCAGATAAATCTAAACCCCTGGATTAACAATTCCTTATTGTATTCGGATTGTATGTCTGTAGTGAAGTTCGAACACCATTTGACAAATGGCACTCTAGGTATTCTTCTATGGAAAGCACTCCTGTAATTTTTCCCTCTTCGATGATAAAATAATCCTCTGATTCACAAGGTTGTTTTATTAGGTTACATATGGTACCTAAGAGCATATAGGATAACTCCAGTCAATCGGACCAATCATTTTCGAGTAAGTTTAGATCAGCCTATGTTAAGTAGTACACTTCTGTGAACATCGTTTCTCAGAAGCGTATAGTACACTGCAATTGCCCCAAAAGGTCGTCCGAACAGCTCACTCACTCTGGGATTTACCCACGTTCCAAAACTTTGGTGATATGTTGGTAATGTCTGAAGTTGTATATAACTGCAACCGAGGTGACTACTCGTTAATACTCACTGTATGAAAATTCCTCTTGTCCGTGGGATATGATCTGACATGTCTCAAACAAACTTAAAAAGCTTCCTACAAGTTTGAATATAAACCTTTTTTACGTCAAAGCTAGAATCGAGTGTGTACTGAGTGGCAATTCCCATCTCGGCGACCAACAGATTTGCACTGATCTCAACTATTTTGTCTACTGAGGCAGGTTCTTACTAAATACCACTCTTCATTATACCAGTACGGTGATATTGGCTTCTTTTTGTGCACGGCAGTGAGATCAAATGCCATGGAATAAGCATGGTAGGGTCGAATTTCAGAGGTACCACATGATTCGGCGTCTGATGGATCGTTTGGACTTTAGAATTGCTTTTACTTCCCGAGTGAGGTAGGATGTTATCGTGTTGAAAACTGACTTATTCATAGGTGTTCATTAGCAATATCGCCTATTACCACCCTCAAACATCTGTGTACCATGCATTAAATAGTTACTTATCTCCAGACTCCTGACATGATATTATATGCGCAATCGCATGGGTTCTATGGTAAGATTAGTTTACAATATTTATCTTATTCAGTCGGATCCAGTTTCCAAAGCAGCAGTTGAGTCCTCCATGCATCGTCCTCCTCCACCGAGTCAAATTTTAAAAAAATTATGTATTAGATGTATCATTAGAGTCTAGTTGGTATTCGAGCTCTGCAATGCTGTTTGCAATACTACCGATAGATAGTGCGACGATGAGTGTAAATATGATTAATGACGCAGCTGATGTATTCCTCGTGCTTGCCAATTTAAGCTGCTGCCCCAGCAGTAATTTTACTTTGACAGGATCCATATTTCAATTTCATGGAAATCACCGCGAACCAACACATGATTTTTAAAATTAATTTCTTCCTAATATATTGTGTTTGGGGAATTAACTCTCCCAATAAATCTACGCATATTATTCACATGTTTTTTTTTATATAACTACCTAATTGTTGTTGCTTTATTTTCAAAAAAATTATTCAGGTTGAAGTACCGTGTATGCCTAATCCGTTGCTTAATTTCGATTTAATAATTAATCCAAATCAAACTCTGCCTACAGTATGCTTAGGTGTATCATCTACCCCAGATCCACTTGTCTATAAATTGCATCTTGTAAATCTAAATGAAAATTCAAATTCATCATGGTATACAAATTCTTGCAGATGTAAGTTTTATATTATAAGTATGAGAATGGTTTACTGAAATTATGTATATCATTCACATCATACAACTACATTTAATTAATACCTGGCATAGTAGAAAAACAAGAGTTCTTTGGGTTTTTTATGAATTTTTAAGCATATACTGTTTCACCAAGTCTAGACACATGTTACACATCATCCTTATATTACAGTATGGAATAGTTAAGTGATCAGCGACAATTAAATGGTTTATAATGGAAGCTGCGTTGTTTTTACATTTTCCTGTGGATATATATATATATATATCTCAGTCAGTCACAACGTAGAACTTCGTACGTACGTACATCAGTTCCAGTCGCCACACCACATTAGCACACAGATGCAGTTGTCGATTCAAATCCCATAGTGGTAGAAGTAGTAAGAGTATAAGCATTATGTGAAAGATTAGGGTTTGAAGATGTTATTAAAGGAGTATAATACGGTGAAATAAATTTGGAAAGAGAAAAAGATAAAGACATGAGGAATTCAGAAGATTAGAATTTGGCAGAACACAAAGAGTGGATGCACCTTCGTCGTTGCAAAAAAATTTTAGCCATGTCATTCAAGATCTCTAACCATCGGTTGCTATCATCTCGCGAATCCCAACCAGGTAGTCTGCACCTACCAATATGGCTCAGTCCAATTGTCAGTGACTTCATTGATTTGTGCCACATTTTGGTCTGGCCGCCCCTAACTTTCTTCCAACCTACTTCTACACCATGAAACATTGCACGTCGAGGCAGTCGGTGGTTGGGCATACGTAACACATGTCCCAGCCATCTCAACTGATCAAGTTTCACTACTTCATCAATCGATTTGCCATCCTTACCTGGTACCCGTTTCCTAACAACTACATCACTTACTCGGTGGTCCCAGGATATACGAGCAATGCTTCAAAGACACCTATCATAGAATACTAGTAGCCTAGGAATATTATATATATATATATATATATATATATATATATATATATATATATATATATATATATTGTGAACAAACTATCATTCTCATCATCGCCCCTCGCTTTTCTTCACTTACATCTCTGTTCTTTTCTCTTGAGGGGAATCTTAATCTTAGAGCAAATAATACACTTTTTTATTCGATTGATTAGTCGGTAAATTATAGTGTAAGGACGAGTCAATTAGAACCGTGAAGACTATTTTCTAGCTTTTACACGAAATTCAAAAATGAATGACTTTTTTTTCCCCATATAACGTCGAATTCCCAATAAAAGTGTCTTTGTATATGGCTCAAAATTCTTAAAATTATTTGGAGAAGTTCTTTTTAGTTGACAGTATCAAATACTCACTTCTTTTACTTAGATTATATAGAGTACATGAATCAAGGGGTTTTTGTTTCTATTTACTTTCTTTACGGCAAACTCTAATCAGTCACTTTATTGTTGGTTTACTAAATAGTTAACGAATGCTAAAATAAATAACGTTTTTCATACATGGTTTCTCCATGTTGTTGTCTTATAACTTCATTTCTAAATCTTCAGAGCATTCCTTGGTAAGGATCTGGTACGCGATGGTGAATTTCCTAATAGATAATCTGTAGTTATAAAAATGATTCAGAAAACAACCTTTGGCTTAAATAGATGAGGTTATATACTTCCACATGGTTGGAAAACTGATAATAAGCCCTGAGGAAACGCAATAAACTCGAGACCACTATACTTTTATTACACAATATTCTTAATTTATGTACTTTCGAATGGTTCGATAAAAAATGACTTCAAGACCAACTGTTAATCTTAAGAATCGCTCAACATCTTCCTCATAAATTATAGTTACTTTCATTAATTTATTTACTGTATGAATATATCAACAGAATATTGAGTTACGACTAGTGATTTTTCTATTCTTATATATGACAATCGGTATTTTAGTTATTCTTAATGGTTGAGCAGTTAATTAAACAAGATAAAACGATATATATATATATATATATATATATATATATATATATATATATATGAACTGGAATTTAGATAAACTCACCTTAACTTTCAGTCGAACCGACATGTGTGTCAACGCACTGACAGAAGTACACAAAGTATGCAAATTATATTGCAATATTACTTTTCTTTCTTTCTCCATCGTCATACTCATTGAGTAATTCATAAATGACACTGATTTTCTACTTTATTTTAAGAACAATTTTAAAAAGCAACACTTAACATGATAAAAGTATGTTTGAGAAAATTGACTTGCACTGAATATGAACAATGTTCTCATGTCTGTGAGAGATGATGATCCCAATGTATAAATTTAGCGTACTATTCAACTTTTTGATATTGGTAGTTGTCTTTTCTTATTAGTACACACAGCACAGAGAATTTTACAGTAAACATAATACCATTTTTAGAAAGATCATGAGTAGTTGAATAAAAATCAATCAGTTAGGTTTTGTTTTATTGGTCTGAAATGATATTGTCTATTAGGTTAAGTGGTAATATGAACAAAATAATAAATACTGATCGTTTATAATGAAAATATTTACAGATTTTAAAGTTGACATTCAGTCAACAATTTGAATGAACATATTGTTTTTTCATTATGTAAACAAATGATACATTAATAATAATTATTTGTGTAGTCCATTGTACATTCTATTGATGTACAACTGTAATGTATGTCGAACTCATGGACTGGTGAAAAAGTCGGACGTTTTCCGAATCCTTATTCACTGTCTGGATGGTTTTGTACATTCAGAACTTGAAAATAAACATATGTCCTCACAAGTCTAGCTACACATGGAACAACAAAGTATTTGGATAGCTGAACTTTTAACATTTTGAGCAATGGGACGAATATACAACCATAAATGGAGAGAAGTATTTTGAAAGGGATATATATATATATAGTTATCATTGATGACCTTTTGTTATTCCAATCCTTTACATTCAATTATGTCAATTGTTCCATACTATTTATTACCCCAATGCTAAAACTCTAATACATATTTGGTTGTAAGCAGCTGATGAGAAACCACGAAATATAATGAATTCATACTATTCTGCATCAATATTTATTCTGTCTTTATTTGGAAGGTATTTAACTGATACATTCTAAATTTTATAAAATAAAACTTTTATAACTTCTATTCATGCATTGATTGGGTAGGGTTAGATTAACAGTTAATAGTGTTTAAAGGTAATTCAATATCTTCAAATAATTCCTGTGACACAAATTGACTTCGTCAATAGAATTATTAGAAAATATAGATATGTGTTACATCCTATATTGAAATTCTGTAACAGAGTGCACAGACACTAGATCGAAAATATCGCTCTGAATTATTTCAGTGATCATCATATCTTTAGATTATGGAGTTAAAATTCAGTAATAGGAATCTATGACTTTAATTCTCAGCACGTTAGGAATTTGAGGAGGGTAATTTTTCAACGTCGACTAAAGTTAAGATCTATTTCTATTGACTTTCGACTCAGTTGGTTACTGGCATCGTGCTCACTTTTAATATCTGAATATACTTTGTTTGATGACAATAATCTTTATGTGTTACTAGTTATGACTAATAATCATCAGCTTTCAACTAGATTGTTTTTTTAAAGACATAACCACTCGCCAATTGATTTTTTTATGAAGGAAATCGAAACCGTTAATTATGTGTAAAATATCCAATCAGGAACCTTGGTCAGTCGTTTTAACAATACAAGCAACTTAACTTTTTCATAAGTAGCGTACTTCATTTACATAATTGAACTGTCGTTACTCCAAATGCTAATCACTGACATAACAGTTGAATCGTTATTACATGTATAACTATTGCCTCTGCGTACATCGTTTCTTGGAAACAATTTAGCAAACACAAAAGAATTTCATTTTCAGTCAGTGTACATATAATTAGTATTTCATGTAACGGAATAGGAGTATTGCAACGTTTTTTCAGTAAAATTCTTCATCGTGTTTGATTTAACTAGAAATCCGATAAGTTCTCCTAGCCATCTTTAAATGTTATTATTGGCTAGACGCCGTTTAGTGTGAAATATGAACCTGTTTTTCATGCGCTAGTTTTTTTATGAAAAAATGTTTTATGTAACACCACATGTATACGTTACTACTGCTGTTGTTAAATTCTATCGCTATGACTACACAAATTATCACTTATTTTGTATCGATTAGTTTTTCATTCTCTGTGTACCTATCTATTTGTTTTTATGTTGCACACACCCATGTATGTATTTACATATCCCATGTGCAAATGTATACACAGAACTGATTATATATATTTGATTGAATATTTCAGTTTAAATTCAGTCAATCACTTACACTCATTGGTCATCGACAACTTTTTCAGTGCTAATAATAATAGTGACAATCCATTTGTTATTTGTATTATTTCTAGTTATAATAATTTATTAGTGATGATTAATTTAATTCTGACACTGTTTAAATACAGTATTCCTTAGTTTTAAAGTATTGATCATAACTGGTAGAAGTTGAACACCGGCTAGCAAAGGGTTTATGGGTGTGTTAATGTATTACATAAAAAATACAAAACCATAATATCAACTTGTATGTGATGTCTAACATTTTGTAATAAATAGCATTATTTATAGTTCTGTGATGTTTGTGCTATAGGAATTACATGATTTCGTTATCTAGTTTGTCTGCATATGTGATTAGATATGTAGTCTTCAATGATTTCATCGTTTTCTGTCTGAGTTAAATAAATTAACTTGGAGAGTTTTTTGCTTTCATGATTGGTATTGTATGGTTAATTTTAATTTAAACTAATCACAAGAATTCTAATCTAATTTATGCCATCCTTAACTTGTTGTCTCTGTGAGCAGTTAAAACTGATCATTTTTCTATACTGAACAATTGTTTGCATGGTTTAACTATAATTAAATCTATTTGTTGAATGTCAGTCTGAGTATTCCGATAATTAAAAAAACTACATCTTCCAAACCACTAGTCTTCTTAACCAGGATACAGTAATCGATTATAGTCGAACTTATTACCGGTATTCCTAAATAAATTGAACGCATCAAACTGAATCGCTTAGATGGCATACGTTGATCTTTCACGACAGTCGTGTCAATAATAACCTCTTGTTACCTCGGCTAAGTGATTGAAGGAAGTTACTTGGATTTTGAAAACGTTAAAATAAAATGCGAAATTTGTAGTGGCCAAATTTCCTTTCATTATTATTTTGTCTATAATTTTACATTTACTATGATGTTAGCTATCTTTTCGTAATAAGTCAAAACTATTCTTACTTCGCTTAGATACAAATATTCCAACTTCTATTTTATTTATCAAGTTTGTGTTATATGAGAAAGGTATTCATGAATGAAGTGTTTTTTGTCGACTATTCGTATTGATGGAAAAGATTACTGTTGGGTTGTAATGTACTATAATTCCGGTTCACTAATATAGGAGTTCTAAACTTGGCATATTAGCAATTAGTTAGAATTTCATATATTCTATTTTCCATCTGATCATACAAAATTATGTTATTAAACTTTATACAAAACAAAATTCACTGATTTGCTTATATAACAAACCTATACTAAGCTAGTGAAATCAGTGACTAGATCTGCTTTCTATAATTAATGTCCATGGTTTTTGATAATAATACTTACTTATAGAACAGCATTAAATTTGTGTAGAAACCAAGTAGATTCATATTACTTAGGGAATGTCAAATAAATACAATCTCTTCAGAATCATGATTTTCATACCTTGTTAAAGTGATAACTTGTTGATCAGTGCACCTCAATTCAATTTGAATACTCTGGGTAATGTCAAAAGGAATCATACAGATTAATTAATATTATCATTACAAATATGATAACTGGGGTTGAAAAAAAAAGTACGTTGCTAATGTACCTAATTGAGTGGTATACAGTTTACCAACTAATCATTATTGATATATCTTCGTTTCACAGAGTATATATTCTAGAAAGAAAATTAATGACTGTCATCACTTGATCGTATGTCACTACATCGACTACCCAGTTATGTATGTATTTTCTTTGTTTTAATTCATTTGGAACACGATCACATCAGTATTAATTGCTTGATAATATAGAAACTGATGATTTCATTTTGCACCACTAAATGTTGACAATCATATCTAAAGAGTGCTTCTACATATTTATCTATAAATCGAAAGCAGCCTCTTTATCTGTAAAATAATTAGATTGAATTATACAATTATCATCACAATTTTTAAGCAGTATACACTATGGTATTTTTGTTGTATTTTCAGAGGGAGTTTTGTATACATCGGGATTCACAATAATTTCTCTTCATATAATTATTGCTGCTGCGATGACCTTAAGTTATCTTGTGTTAATAGATATTAATTTTTTTCCTGTAACACTAACAAAAGTTCATATTTTCCCATAACGTTTGCTTTTTCTGACTGGTTGTTACCACTTTTACTTGGCTAATTCTCCTGTTTTTTTTAGTTCATGTTTTGCTGCTATATATACAGAGTTGTTTCACTTTAGTTCTATATTCGCTGAATTTCAAGATTTTCTTGCACTTCTGCTTTCTTGGATTCCGTCATTTGTGGATTATTGACAAAATTTCGTGTGCCACTTGTTGTATTATCGAGTTTGCATTAGTTTCCGTCCTTATTAGAACAATTTCAATTGTGTGTAGTAAGAAATAACCGTAGATCCAATTGGACCAGTCATTGGACACTATTTACATATACATTGTTTCTGTAATCGTTGCTGTGTGGTCTTCGTAGTATTAAATCAAATGAGTTTTAACTGTCCATCAATATTGATAGATATCTTTTATTATACGAAGTCACCAAGTTGTCATTGATAAGTCCTTTAATCCGATCTCAGAAAAATATACACACAGGAGGCTGCATGTAAACTTTAATGACGAGCTTCATCAAATAACCAAAATGACGTATTTTATACCACTGTAAAATATCAATTCAGTCCTTATACATTGTTTTCCAAGAATACCTGCTGTACCGTTCCATCTACTTTGATTTTACAGGTGTTCGATTAGTATAATTAACTCATACGAAAAATACACCTCAAAACAAATATATATAACTATATTTGATAAATGAACTTCATCTATTGATGTTTTTACATATTTATCGTATTGCTATATTCCATTGAAATAACTGTATGCATACCATTGATGATGTGCATTTGTCCACTTAATTTTTTTTAGTCTCATATATATTCCCTGTATGTTTTATTTTGATTTCAGTTGAAGATCAGTTGCAAGTGATTAAAGTTGTACAGCTTGATACACGTTCGTTGTTAATTTGTTTTCCCAGTAAGTCAACTAATTAACTACCATTATTATTCATTTGTATTGGTTGTTTGAATCTCCCCGTTGATGATTAGGACGCGATAGCGTTTGAAGCGAACGGTACTGGATCCGAGTCCCAGAGTGAACATAAACTCAGGGATGCAGGCACATTCATCGAACGAGTCTCAAATAAGGTGGAACGTGCATCCTGGATTTTACTGATAACCACCATCCACCTCTGTGTATAATACTATTATTTTATTCTACCTGAAATGAATATTAAAGGCTAAAATAGTTAATTTTACTGTGCTCTTTTTTTAGTTTCAGATAATGTGTAAAGATTGTTTTAATCATGTGTTTCATCGAGATCGACATAAGAATAATTATAAATTAGAAAGCACTGAAAATATATTTCATCATCATGAATTGGTTCGTAGGTGTACATGTCTACGATTTCACATGAGTTAAAACTGAAGACATTTATCTCATATGACTAGTAGTACTATATTTTTGTCAGACTATTAAGCTACAATATAAATAGTCCGTATTTCCCTACTATCACTCATTTCACGATATAGAATGATTTTTGTCCGATGTCATTCGCTGAATAAAACCGTATTCGAATTTTACCTTTTATTATTGCTTGGAATCGCTTTTATTCATAATTAGATTAATTTGTTTGAGTGGTCACGTTATTCTTGTAGTATACTTTTCTGTTCTGTAATAATTTTTTCTCTGTTTATTGGTGTTTCAATATTCACCATCTTTTAATTTATTCTTGATTAGCACACGCTACAATGGTGAATATGAATGGTCGTGTACTAGTTAGTAGAGATGGACGAATAGCCAAATTCCCATTCGATACAACAGTCGACTCCATTGGTAAGTTCGAATATCATTGTTTTGTGTATTTAATTTGTTTGTTTTTCGATTTCTTCATAATTGTAATAACGTTGTAAATGAAAACAAATATTTCTTCGAATGAATAATGTGACATTATTGGATCAAGCAAACTATTACTTTATTCCACCTTTTTAGAAGTTTTTCTGGTAAATGTCCCTCGTCCTAACGAACCGATCTGAGAAGTCTAAGTATCCATGCATGAAATAGACTAATTGTTAAAGACTTCATGGTTTTGTATCATGTCTTGATTTGGTCATCCACAGCAATTTTCCAAAGTAACCCCACATCAGCTAACGTCATATTTCGGTTCACATAATGTGATATTCGTATCACGTAACCTATCCACTCCTATCACTGGGTTCATAAAATCTATTAAGTATGGTCCAAAACATTTCTGGCAATAGACAAGAAAGGCTCTGGAATAATTAAAAAGCATTTTATCCAACCAGCGTTGACTAGACGTTTTGCTAGAAGCATCACGAAAGTGAAAAGTCACGTATAGAGTTTCTGATTGGCTGATTACTATACTGCTACCATGGTTAATAGCATTCCAGAATTTTCGGAAAAACCCAAGGACTTCTTGAATACTATGAAAACCCTATATTTTCTGTACATGAATGAACCTTCGGAGTAAAATGCTTTTCGCATATTTTGCGCCTTTTCTCTCATGTTCAAGTCGCTGTGTATATTTAGATTGCGGGTTACCAGACTAGCTTAGGATCCGAGTATAGCGTTCAATAAGCAAGACTTATCAGGATCGTGCTCTTGTTTGAAAGACTAAAATAACCTGTCAGACATAGAACTCACTAAAAGGTCAATCTATTTGGAAACGCGTCTTAAGTACGTTCTTATTTTCAGCTACATAACTGATTCCATTTGTTATCGTTTATATTTGACGTCAACCTTTAGGAAAGACAGAAAATATGAAGAGAATAGTGGTTCTTGCCTATTTTATTTAAATTCAATGAAGTCTATATTTAATATATTTTTAAAACATACTTCCTAGAGCTCTGCTTATTGTTAATGTTCTGAATAACCTACAACTTTGTATTGATATAGTTCAATAAATCAATTATTTATTTAGCTCAAACCCTTCGACAAAAATAGACAGCTATCTCTTTGAAGTGTACTTTTCACTTAAAATATATTCTATTATATTTAAAACCTTATACTTATGACATTAAGTAACAGAATATTGACAATCGGTACCTCAAAGCTTAACGGCGTTACAGTTAATGAACTCACAAACCTCATATTCAATTTCTGAGTTTGTTTTTGCATATTGTGCTTTAAGCGTAATCTATTGTTTTTTTTAATACTTTTGATGAGTTTGCGCATTTTAGTGTAAAATCAAACTCTTCAATCTATTTCCATCCATAGTTAAGTTATTGTGGCTTATTACTTGGATATTTTGACTTATTTTCCCTTATAAAACCTAATAATTAACAACATTTACGAATTATACTCAGTGTTATTTTACGCTCTGTTTATCTTGTTCTAGTTTGTTAAAGACAACTGAACATTCTTGTTTCATTGTAATGTTTAAGTCTTGATTATGAACAGTTGAATATTCTGAATGGAATTCTTCACTTAATCCATTGATGATTTTAAATTTATCATCATATCTTATTTTGTAGTGTGATCGTAACAGTTTACAAATTGGTTTATGGTTTCACCGAATTATTCTTAATTAAGTTGGATGGGTTATGAAGAGACTAGTACAAATCGAAGACAGTTTTTTATTATGTCATGAATTGATATTAACTGGAAAATGATTATAATCAATTGTTCAGTGCTCCTAGTAGTATACAACATTTCTTCACTTGATATCAGCTCGTGGCGATAACTAACTTCAAATAAATAGATAACTGTTATAAACACTGAATTAATTCATAGTTGCACGCTTAAACGTTTGCAACGGCGAAGGTGCATCCACTCTTTGTGTTCTGTCAAATCCTAATCTTCTGAATTCTTTATGTCTCTATCTTTTTTCTCTTTCCAAATATATTTCATTGGATTATATTCCTTCGATAACATCTTCAAACCCTAATCTTTCACATAATGCTTATACTCTTACTACTTCTACCACTATGGGATTTGAATCGACAACTGCATCTGTGTGCTAATGTGGTATGGCGACTGGAACTGATGTACGTACGTACGAAGTTCTACGTTGTAACTGACTGACTGCATGCTTAATTGTAATAGACTTTCAAATGGATTTTTTTAAAGTCTAGTTAAAAGTCGTAATTAACCAGTCTTGTTAATAATGAGGCCTTAACTCATCAAGGACATCAGAGTAGTATTATGCTCTACCACAGATTGATTGAAGTTGTTAATATGAACTATTAAATTCCTAATTATTTGTCTAGACGTATTGTGTACTCGACACTATACCTGGAAATGCCCACTTAAATCTTTTACGTCAGGTTCGCAGTGTGTATCATTAATCAGCTAGTCCTAAATTTGAATGATACAGTTATCCAGTATTTCCTAGTAGCGGTAGATGATGCTCCAGTTGATATTGTTTATCAAAATTACCCCATAAAATCCCTACAAAACCAGCTTATATTTAATATGCTAATGAATTGAGGTTTTCTGTTACTGTTTTTTGTAGAATTTTGTAACGAAAACAATAAGTCGTACTGTAGATGATTCCTCAACATATTGTAGTGAACAAGAACACGAGTGGGGACAATCGAATGTATTTTGGCACAGAATATCTCACTAAAAATCTGACAAACATACAGCAAATAGTTAATTTGCAAACTATCAATCGTCTCAATCTTGACCGTTCTTTCTGCAAATATTAGTCCATCGTCTCTGACTATTATTGTTCATGCATTTCCATACCAATTCCGTCCCGTTCCTGTTCCCTCCTTATCGATGTTCTACTGACATACATTCAATGCTTGACCATCGTTATATACTACTTATGTGGACATAAGTAGCCCACACCATAGTATCATTTAATTCAATTGTATATACATTTAAACAGCAACATTTCTGTTTAGTGTTTTTGTCAGTCGACAGAGTAACTCTTGTTCCATAAATAAAATTAAGTCTTTTTTTCTTGAGAATATATACAGTCAATAATGTTTTTCACTCAACAAAATTAAAGGTTTAGACAAAATGAAATTAGTATTTCCAACTTGAATTAAATGTCTACTAGATAGTCTTAGTCGTTAAAAGAAAAGGGGTTGTTAAAAGTATCCTAGTTCCTACCTTTTTGTAGAAATTATGTGTGGATAAAAGACTCATTTTATGCGATTCTTCAAGTTTTATTTTAAACATATTTATTTCATTTTGTTTAATAGTTCGATTGCATGACAGTGTACTCGCTTTTCATACACATGGTTTGAGGGGTATCGATTTCTTCGGTAGGGTAAGTATTTCTACTCTTTACATCTCATAATAATTACTTTTTGCAAATTTATAAGCAAAAGCATTTTACTCACGATGTGATAATTTAAAGATAGTCTCAGTGGCAGTAATTGGTTATGGATTATTATACAGAGATTGACTTAAATGTTTGTGGACGACTTAAGTATATTAAGAAATTTAAGTATAATATTGTCCTCGAAGTTTGATTTATTTTCTAGTCGCGATAACCTCTTCGTTTTTGGCAAGACATGTAATAATGCAACTCAACGGTCACCTGCAATTTCATACGCTAGGCTTTTCTTACCTTTACTTACAGTGTGTGAGGGGGTATCGCTACTACTATCGGATTGGGTTCGAACTGTTGTATATCGTTTGCTTAATCAATTAAACCACAATACTATGTCTTATTTATTTATTAACTGCGGAGATTGAACAAAACAACTACCTGGTTTAAATGGGTGTCTAGCTAAAACCATTTTATAATTTTTACTATAAACTGAAGTCTCCATAAAACTATGAGGAAAATCTGTTGCATTATGATTCTAGTAAAATTGTATTACATACTTGCTCCAATAGATGCTGTTTAGGAACATCATTAATACCACACACACAATATGTACAAAGATCTTTCTCCTTAATAAAAACTGATGCATTCTTTTGTCAAAAAAGTAAGGTACTCCTTTAGTGATTGAAAATTGTCATTCATTTGTCTGTGTTCCCATTATCCATAATCTGTGCATCACCTCATCATAAAGTGCAAAATATTTTCCACAAAACTATCCATGTTTCTGTACATATTGAGCCCAATGCTACTTAACTTACTAGTAGTTATTGATAAATTTCTGTATTTTATAGTTACTTAAGCATATCGACACCTGATAACTAGTATGAAGAAAATATGTATTACAGTTCAGCTAGATGGTTTCAGAAGAAACCCTTGATCATCGAGTAATATTCTTATTGGATGGATGATAAGTTTTCAATAGCCTCAACCTTTTAAACAGAATACCATCCCAAAAAGATCAGTAGTCCTAATTAATAACTGATTCTAGTAAGTTTTTTTATTTTGGCGTATAAAATATTGTAATCATCATGTTTTTAATATTGTATTTTCAGGTTACACAAGATATTGATGACGATAAACATGTATATCGACTATTAGGAAGTGATCGGTAAGCCAGTGATTGGTAAACATTTCAAATGTTTTGAAATTGATAATATTACTATTCTAATATATAGAAATTCATTTACTGACAAGCATTTAAGATTTCATAATACTAGGAGGTAGTCCAGATTTGGAATGGGAACATAAGTTTTGATACTATTTAGGAAATAGAGTTTGGAAACAGTTGTATAGATTTTCATCAGTTATTTCATTATTCGTCTTTACTTTTTGGTAGTTGAGCCAACCATATACAATGCGTCTCTTATGAACTGAAGCCGGTAACCATCCCACTGTTTCGTATTTCATTTATTTTTACTTTACTTATTTTCATACTGATTTTGTTTCTATCCGACTAGGAATATTGTTGTTGAGAGCAGGCCAAGTGATGATCCAATGTCGAATTCAAACCTCCTTATTTTGGTTGGACACGAAGATTCATCCTGATTCATAATTATTAGTTTTATTATCATTTCGGGGAAAAATACGAATTGTTTGCACACCTGAAAACTGTTTGAATAACTCATTTATTCTATCTTCAATTGATCACAGCAAAGGCATTGAAAATATTATTTCATCGAGTTGGGAAATTCTATTCGTTTTTATAATTGACGATTTATAGTGTTATGTTTATTATGAATTCGGAAAACAACACATACTCTATTTGTGTATGTCTAAAGGATGGTAAAAGTGTGTCCTCTGTAATGAACGGTGAAAATTGTTTAATACTTGGTTTTACCATCATATTTTTTTGTTGAAATCTAATTTATTTCTTTATCTTTTCATTTCTTTTTTTTAATAGAAAATATTTCTCTTGTTAACTATTTCTCTGGTCAATCATTATTTTATGAAATTTGTACAGTCTTAGTTTTATTTGTTCATTTCTGATCAGCATTATGCTCGCCCATGATCGGATTTATCTAACTAACACGTATGTTTTCGGAAGCTAATAATGAACCTTGTTTCTGCAACTGATTCGAACTTTCTTATAATGTCATTTTTGAACAGTTCTGATGACGAAACTGCCACTGACTAATCCATTTATGATTTAACTAATATGCCGTATCAAGTAACCTAGAATACTAATCGATACTTCTTCAGTCGCTTCTGATAACTACTTGAATGTGAAGCCCAAATAACTTGTGATCTGTGTTTTTTTTTCTAGGCACTTGGTTCTCAACCCGTGTGTTGCATAGTTTCGAACATCGGTTTACATATCGAAGCATAATATCCAAATGATATTACCAACAGTTATATAATAGATTCATTTCATAGATTAGTATATGAACATTTATTTTCGTTACTCAGCTAAATTATTACTCACCTTGACCTGCATACAGTACAAAATGCTGTTGGTAAGACTAGGTCTGAGCTTTTATTGTACTGGAATGGATATCATGTTTCTTTGTAGCTGCATTCTTCTAGTCGATTCTATAAAAGACTAGTTCTTAACTGTAACAATAATCAAAACACACCCATCAATCTAGGTACGAACGTCTTGCTCCATGCCAGTGTGATAGCTTAAATTAATTAATCCACATTATTTTCTGTATTTACTTATCAAGATGATGCTATTATGAAATTGGTCTTTTAAGAGATATTAAAAATATCATAGGTAGCACAAATACTTACTTTCTCGAATGATGACACGCTTAAAAACTAAACCAATTTTTACTATTGGTGAGTCTCTGTTAGAAACCGCTTTTTCTCAGGATATATAATCAGCAATATATTTGAGATCACTTTCCTATTGAACTGTGATAAAAAAAGACCGACTTCACAACGGAATCGAAAGAGTAGTAATGTGAACGATATTATGCAACTAAACACAAAGAATATAGTTTGGGAGCAGTGAAGCTCATTAATCAGAAGTATAGAATAAAATTGAAACTCCGGATTTATGGGAAACAAAATAAATGCAATTGTGCCACTGAGACCAATTTTAAGCCGTGTTACCTATCTAGTTACTTTACTCCCTGTAGGCTGGTCGGTTCTGACGCGTTTCAAATGAAAGTTATGGAAACCTGAGGATATTTCTACTTCAGGAGGAAGTCTACCTGAAGTTTGTGATGACGTTATTCAGAAGGACATGGAAAGCTCCACGACCAAACCACCTAGCTCAGAGAACAAAACTGCATCTAAATCACCCACCTGAGTTACGAATATTCACCATCTCGATATTTCTACATTGTTATTCAAGGCGTTTGAGACGCTTTATTTTGTTAAACTCTTCAAACAGAAATAGGTCATTATTGAATTATTTCTCAGAAGGGAAGTAAAACTTTAGTCCTGATATTTTCTGCTGATGAAGATCTGAGTTGTTCGTGTGCCCGATGTGTGTATCCTGACAGGAAATTGATCTCCAAATAGTTAGACATGAAGTTTCATTCCTAGGCGAGTACGTATGACGAAACTATACACAAAATAGAGATGCAGAGAGCTTTGATGAACACGTCGAGGTTGCCAAATTTAATGATAATTTGTCGTAAGCTCCGAGTTGACGGACATTATTTATCCAGTGATAAACACTGCTGCTTGACGAAGACGAGTTCCACAGTCTGTTCAAGGAATAATTCAGTAGGGTTTTGATATATTGCCTATGTTCTAGAACCTACCGAAGGATAAGTATTTAATACATCGATGATCCGCTGTTCCCAAACCCCCATTTAAGCGCCGACTAGTCGTGTGACGTGACACTTTCAATACAATTTTTGCCGAACCAACCCCTCTGCGGTTACCAACAACTTTATAATACGATGACTGTCCGTGAATACAACTAACGGAGAGGGGATAACATTTTTGTCAGTTGAAAATATTAGAAACACGAAGCTCAGCGAAGGGATCTCTTTCCAACGAATTTATTATCAAGCTGCACAATCGTATATATACGGAAATGTTTTGTTAAAGTACTAATTCCGTGAAGACTTTTTCATGGCGAAACTAGAAAACGATCAACTCAGTTCAATGATTAATCGATTTCACCTCTAGTGAATTAAAGGATATCTTACACACCTTCAACTCATGCCACCCTTCCATAGACTTCACCTTAGAAAGCGAGCGAGACCAATCAAACTGTTTTCTCGATGTATGTCTGATGAAAATAAGTAATGGTTCCTTGAAAAGTTCAACTTTTAGCAAACAAACATGGAGTGGCCAGCTGACCAACTTCTATAGCTGGGTTCCTTTAAGTAGAGAGAGAAATCTCATCTAGTCTTTGTGTCATCGAATATCCAGTACGTAATGCATTGACGAAGAACTCGCATTCCTCAGAAAAGCCTTGACGGAAATGGCTACCCAGACCGTTTCATAGAGAAGAATATGAATAAAAGTAGGTATGACGAGAAATCTAGTTGTTCCGTCCTAAAACAAAACTCCTATATAAGTCTGGAATTTAAAGGTGATGGGACATCTGACAAAAATCATTTAACGACAGCGATTAAAAGAACATTTAATGCGGCAAAACTGCGAATAACCTTCACTAGTAGGAACTTATTTTCTGTATCCATAAAAGATAAGCTTCGGCGTCTGGTTGCCTCCATGTGCATCCACCGGTCCACCTTCTCTTGTAGAGCAAGGCACATTGGCCGTAGCCAACGCTCACTTTCAACTCGGATACGTGAACATGTCCCAGTTTGGTTCTACAACGGTGAAAAAAGCAGTTAGTTCTATACTTGAACACCTAATCGACTATAACCATTCTACGGATCCATAGTTTGATTTTAAGGTTGTTTATATGATTCGTTCAAATCTACCTAGATTTATTTGTATCCAACTCCTAAAAATAGCCGAAGCTCTTACCATCCACGAGCTCAAACCAGAACTACGCATACAAAAGAAGTACGTCCTATCGTTATCGTGGCCTTAATATTATTATTACTGCGTTCCCCACTACTTATGTCTCATTATTTTATTCATAAAAACCCATCACCTTATTTATTTTTACACCTCTACGACCTTTAATTATTGTAGCTTAAGGCATTTTAATCTTATTAAATTCACTAAATCTATTGTTATTGTTCGTATTACGTAATCTGGTATTATAATATTTCTATTACGCCATCTTATTAGTGTTCACATTTCCTCACAGAATTAGTACTTTAACAGAAAACTTTCATATACGATTGTACAGCTTGATAATAAATTCGTTGAAAAGAGATCCCTTCGCTGAACTTCGTGTTTTTAATTGTTAATGTTTAAATGGGAATTATCTGTCAGTTTAAAATATAGTTTTGTTCTAAAGACCTTTACCATTAACAATTTTTAATGGATAGTTTAAATCCGAACTGGTGATGAAACCAAGCCACTGCAACGAACTATAACTTCTACACAAACCATTAATTATTTCATATTAGTTACATATGTTAGAACGGTGGTTTACAGCTAAGTTTAATACTTTTGGAGTTGTGTCCCTTGAGCTAGACAATTTAGTTGCGAAGCCTTCATTATCATTCTGAATGGCACAATCAGCACCTAATTCATTTACATGTGAGCTTTTTGAAACAATCCTTTCTTTTCGTGAGTTGCGTACTGATATACAACCTGATGGCTAGAAATTAATCTAGTTGTATTCGTAAACGTGCTGACTAGTTATTGTATTTAATTGAATTGGTAAGCGGTAGCTCGTTTGTACGTATTACATGCTATTTCCAGGACTTAGGTACAAGAATAGACCACTTTAGTTGTAAGCAGTGAGATCATAAGAAAGCATCATCACGGAGTAATGAGTTTCATGAGCCATATTATAGATCATTCTGGGATACATAGATTACTTTGAGACTAGGAAACATATTATTTAGTACAACAGTCAATATCCATTCACGAGGGCTCGATCAAAAGAGTGCACATTAGTAAGAACAACTATCAGAAGGGGTCACAACAATAACGACCAACAGAAAAACCAATATTAAGAGGGCGAGCAACGCAAGGAGTAATAAGAGTTTGAAATTTGACCAACTCACTGTCTAAACGTTTGCTTTTACGATCAATCAAGAAGTGCTTTAAACGTCCAACAGATACCGTAGTTCCCTAAACTCTGTGACAATTTCTCATTTTTATTACCTTAATCGTTTTGTTTCATATACCTATTTTGAACAGCAAAGCCGAGAATCCAGTTAACCTGCTTAATAATGGGGTTCTATAGTAGCGAGGTCTAGATAATGTCTTTTCATTTTGCTGATTAGGATTCCCTATTGATAAACATACATATTACGATGATGAACCAAAATGTCGAGATTTTTGTACTTACAAGCGATGAGGCAATAGTTTGCCTGGTGATTCTAACCTTTCATCGTAACGTTTAATGGTTAGTCTAATGTAAATATAAATTACAAGGTTTCCCAGATATGTTATGAATATTCGCAAAACGACCAATCATTGCTTTATGTTTAATAAAATATCAGTAACAACACTTAATAGCTTCTTTAATTATGAACGGAGATGTAGATATCATGTCAAACACGATTAACATTGTTATGACTTATGCCCGTCAATTATCATTTGACAAATCCGCCAATCAGAACACCGACTTGTATGACCTTGTCCCCGTGCAGCCTTGAGCCAACTCTGAGTATTATTGGTTCTCTTTGTAGTGGCTTCTCGCCCAATCTACCCCGTTCAGTCCAGAACACAAATATTAACCTCTGGTATATGAATCGTATAATCCAGACAAGCGTAGTTTATATACAAGCATACCAGACTGCACCACACCATAAAATGAAAAATAACAATTATACAAGATCAAGTCAAATGTAGATGTGAGTATATGAAACTGTAACTAATAGACCGGGGATAAATTAAGTTGTAGATCGTATAACAGTAGCCAATAAGTCAAATGAAAGCTTACGATAAAAGGAATACGAATACACATATAATCTAGTTACTTAGTAGTTACCCAGTAGGGACATATGTAATAATAGTCTATACATAATTCCTGGCAGTTATCTACTTATTCTTCGGATATAACAAATATGGTTCGAAAATAGTCTGTTCAGTCAAATGATTCGTACCCGCTGACAGGTATGGGTCAGTTGCATAGAGCGATTAGGTTGGGAACATCGTATCCAGACGATACTCAATGAAAGACATTGTCTGGACCTCACAACTGTAGAACCCCATTATTAAGCAGGTGGACTGGACTCTCGGCTTCGTTGTTCGAAATAGCTGTGAGATGACATGACTGGGATAGTAAGAATGACAAATTGTTACAAATTCGAGGAACCACAGTACTTACTGTCGTCTCTCTTAATTCCCTTGAGCTACCATTTATTCCCCCCTTATTGGTTGCTTGTGAACGGTAAAGCAATTAAACTCTAAACCCCAAAATGCTTCATCCCCCCTCCCAGTCCTCGCCTTTATTGACAGGTTTTCTGACAATCGTTCCCATTAGTGTGAGTCTTTTTTCTTGTCCCTTTATCAGTATGAACTACGATTATGAGGAAACTATTACTGTGCTACGTTGTTGCCTAATGTTTCTCAGTCATCCATAGTCGTATACCATCTTCCTCTGTATTCAAAAGATTGATTTTTACTGATCCCGCAGAGTACAAAAAAATGGTATTTACAAGAGCCTTTGCTATGTATACAGCCTAACCAAGTAACCGATAAAGCGGAATTAAATTCATCAAAATTTGTACGCATGTCTAGTTGTTGGTCATTAGCTGATTTTTATATGTTGCTGGTTATTGGACTAATAAGAACCAAAGATTATGTTCTGGCTAGCGACGTATATTAAAACTTTGGAAATGTAATTGAGATATCCTTCTTTCGTTCTTGAACTGGCACCTGTCGATTTGCGATTTGGGACTTCCAATGTTGCAAAGCCAATGTTTGCTATTATATATGCTTGAATTTAAAATAAACAAAACTTACAATGCATCGAAACCTACACTTGGGCCTTCGAATTCACCTACCACAGTACCACTTTCAGTATTCATAATCCAACCGACAAGACCATTAACCTTGGCGAACTCAGCCGCATACTAAGTACAAATGATTATATTAGCTAGGGACAGACCTTTCTAAAAAATACACCTGATGATGAATAAATTGTTAGGAAACTTCCATACCTTGAACTTTACCGTGAACTTCAAACGAACAACCGCTTAAATCATCTTGGTTACCCGCCATCAGTGTTCGCCTTTGGAGATTCAGTAGACGAAGGTCATTTCTGACTTTAAAGGACTAAAAGCATGGGACTGTGTTAACCATGATAATTATGGTCTCTCGTCTGGCCTAATTCTTTTCGAGGCCAACGACACTCATCTTTGTGGTGGTCCCATGTTTACCTAAGGAAGTGTGTGAAGTATATTCGTGGACCAATTATTTAGAGATTTGCCATTTATTTGGGCGTATGTCGATGACATATTGGTAAAAAGCACGCGTGAGATCTCGAGTCACAACCGAGCAGTGACGAACGAAAGACTAACCCTAATATCTCCAAATTTAGAAAGAAATCACTCCTGTAGTGGCCTAAATCTGATTCCTTTTTGATCGTACGTACTGTCTATCCTCGTATGTAATAAATGACTTTATCCGCGTTGGTGAATAACGGAATTAAATAAGTCAAATACGAGAATGGATTTAGAATACATCTATTTCCTACACTCATTGATCTGGCCAGGGAATCAGAACGATGAAGTAAATGGATGAGAGCAGAACATAAATGACATGCAGTGGAGATGGCGGAGAAGCCAACTCGATTTAAGCAAGCGTTAATCAACATTTATAGTCAGACAAAAATGAGTGACAGACATATGATGAATAAGATATGAAGTGTACACATATATGCTTATATAAAAGTATAGCCAAGGTTAATAAGCGAATAATGAACAAGATCAAAATATGACTCATGACAGGCGAATTGGCTTGGCCAGTAGCTAGGATAAAGTATATGGACTTAACAAATAAACTGATACTACACTCCAATTTCCTTAGACATACTGTGAGCGTATAGTGTTCTTTTCCGAAGAACATGGCTAGGAACCGAAGGCAGGGATCAAAAAGAAAAGGGTGATTCGAGTGTCTTGGTTGGTTTCCTAGATCTCATGAGAGAGAACACGATCAAGTGAACATATAAGTACAACCTCAATTTATTGCTATGAGCGGCTTTTCAAAGCATTAGTTTAGCTGACACAGAGATGGAATACACCTCTACAACCTATTCGTTGGTTTACAAGACAAGGTGGACCCATGGAACCAACCTTATCATCAGTAATCACGAGCCACAAGTGTTCGTCAAAGCAGTTACACACCCACAATTATTAGTAATAAACAATATAGCTATGACAACCCAGGGTGTTCCTCATAGGACTATAATCAATATTAAAGCTGGAACGTCAAAGCCCCTACCCTGTCAGGTAACGAGGGTCTTAAACAGATCCAACTTGCTCTCCCTGGTGCTGTAGGCAAGTACCGAAAGACACGTAAAAAATAAGAACATGATCTTCCAATAAAACTGGTGCTGAAATAGCAGGACACAAAGGTAACGACTACATAGTAAGCACCTCACAGTTCAGAGCTACTTACTTACTGAGTCCATTTGGATGTATTTGTGTTCTGTAATGTAAAATAATATACTAACTATGCGAAATTGTCTTTAGAGTGTAGTGACCCACTTTTATGAAGAGAACACGATTAGTACGAAGAAAAATTTATTACTACAACCAATTGTACCAGTGATTGTTTTACCGTTCCTGTTTGTTTAAATGTACGGAAAAGACGATTTCCCGTTGTTTTGTGACCTTGCACGAACCCTCGTACGCTCAGGGCACGGTCAAGAAGTCGTGCCACTGGTTCCCACTCACATGTTACATGTCGAGGATTTTGAAAGTCGTTATTTATTAGCTATCAACAGCACTTTTCCGTCGCACGTTAATTTTTGTAATCTTTGTGCTTGTTACATAGCGTTTATTACAGTCTATTAGTAGTGAAGATATGACTACTTTTCTAGTTTGACAACTAGCAACCAGTAACACCTATATTCGAAGCTTTCCCAACCAATCGAAATCAGAAGTCAGATGCTCTGAGATAGGAAAGATATAATTGATATGTTATCAGTATATCGAAAAGCGTTTGCTCTAATCTGGCTAGTGAACGTAGGAGCTGTGTCCCGCGCTGGTTCGAAACGTGATCTGGTACGGATGCATGACCGGAAGCCTTCATTTAAACAAGTCCACTTCAACAAATGTGGTCATCATTCAATGTCGAACACTTAATGAGCTATTGATTTTGGGGAATTGTTTACAGCTACAGTAACTTGACGTATTTGTTACTCACAATCTGGGTGAATGGTTAGTAAACCTAATTTGATTACTTGTAACAATACAAACTCAGGCAAGTGAAATTCACCATTTATCAAGTCCAAAAGAGACCAGCATCAGATTTTGAAGCGAAAATGTGCTCTACAATCATTTACATGTTACTCACCTAATTAATTATGGTAGTGATGGACATGGGTGTTGGAATTTATTTGTAAAATTTAGGTTGAAGCAATTGATCATTAGACTATTAATGAATATTGTATAACTTGGTACTATACAGCTGTAAACAGTTCTATCCATCACAAGTATCATCGTTTTCGACTGAACTGATATGTTATTGTGTATGGTATCTGAGAGAGAAAAATTATATGAGTAACAATTGACGTTGATAGCCTTTTCTGCTCGCTTTCTGAACATTTGCAGGAATTGTGTATAGCATAACTGTGAGTGCCACATAAATTAGCCAAATATTCTTCATAAGTAAAGCGATGAGTGTTTGTTCTGAGCATGGTCACTAAAACATGTCGTGGTTAATACTAGTTTATGATATGTTTGTTATAGGTTTAACAAATAAATTTCTGTTAACAGAATACGAAATCACTGGCCAATTCATAAACAAAGTTTTAGTGCTTGTTGACGAGTAATATATAAATACTGCTTACCAGTGGTGTCATTATTGTATATAAACAGTGAATTGCTAATAGTAATATGAACGTTGTAATAAGATTTTTCTCAGATTTCATATCACCACTTGAAGTTTTTGAATCGGTTTATTAGGTGCCTGCAGTTTGTTTGTTAACACCAAATAAATAGATAAAATTCTAGTAGGGTTAGAAAGTGAAGGGTACTGTTTACAACAAGTAAGACACTTATAGCTACACCCTGTTTGCTGATATTTTATTTATGTTTCGGATTTGATACTGATAACGAAGTTTGATAGTTTGCTTCGCGATTGATTTGTTGCTTTCAGAATTGCATAAACCTGAGAAGATCCTCATACGTTTTCTGATATGAAATCTACGGCTTCTGTCAACTAATTGAAAGGCCCAAACCTCTCTAATAATCAAGTCCATGCCGGTGAACAACTTAGCGAATTTCTGAATATGAAAGATAATGTGCAGAAACAATTTACAATTTGACGATAACTGTGTTTTATATTGACTACTGCCACGCTTATTCATCTAGTGAATTATCTAGATATTAATATGAAAACTGTGCGGTATTTTTGCATTATAAGTCTTGTTAGTATGTATAATTCTGCCTGGTTTGGTACTGATGGTACTCTGATAAAAGACATAATCTGAAAACGTTAGATTTGTCGCGTGATTGCCTAATCTGCAAGATCTTACGTGGAAGTCATATCATTCTCTACACTGACTCATTGTATCGTGACAATTAACAATGATACTTAGTACTTCTGAAGAACACATTTGTGCTAGGGATAGAACAATATATTTCATTTTAATAATAATAAGTTACACATAATGAGTACGTCTGCAAGGCTGAGCCATGCCGTCCGGTTGAATGTCTTCACGTCTGCTACTGCCCACCTTCTCCAGGTGTCACATGTTGAATATACATCTTTTCAGTCACTATATGCTCGGCTTCAAAGACCATGTGGTTAGGAAAAGTGAGACAACCAGTATTCGTCCGGATATACTTTCACAGTGAAGAAACTAATGCATACAACACAACGTGCTAGCGAGACGTCTAAACTGATGCAGCACTACAAGTTTTCGTAAAGAAACGAGTACTTACAAATGAAACCCTTTGTAGATTTTTTAATTTTCACAAACAGTTACCCATTATGATTATCGGCATATCTCCCCATGAAACTACGAAGAAAACGAAAAAAATTGGGCAGAAGTTCACTGATGTATCGTTACTACTGATCAGAAATAGAAACATTTGATGAGGAAAAACCAGTTTACAAGTTGGATATACAGTCAAGTTAAAAACACTACTACATAGAACTTATAGTAAATAGCTCCTGCCACGTCTCCACACTTTGTCGTATCCTAATCCGTGTTTTCTATCGTAAAGAATACTACACAAATACAAGCGTTAGCGAAACTACAGTCTTACCTACTTATCGATTATTCTTAGGTGAAAATTGGCATCGTTGAATCTGTACATGCTGTTTGCTTAGTCTGTGGAATGAAATTGTTGTTATTATGGAAGGTGTGAGTGCTATCTATCTTCCATCGACTGCAAAGTCTAGGAATATGATGAAATATACAGTTTATATTTCGCGATTGATCGAGCTTACGTGTAAATGGTCGTCTTCTTATGTATGCCAGTATCATATGGCGACAAGTACACCGACATACCATAATTGATCCACGATCCAGGTCACATCTGCTCTCAATTATTTTTGCATTCAGAAGTGCAAAACAGGACAAAAACCGTACAAAACGTTTTCCAAAATGAAGAGATTGGGAAGTTGCGAGGCAACAATCGGTTCATTGTGTGCTCTACAAAACAGAGACAGCTAATGCAATCATCTTCGTAATGATTTGCTGCATATGAGAAAACCTGATATTCGTGCATCCTAAAGGACACCTTACAAACCCTCAGAAATTGAAATATGGAATGACCGCCTCTTGTCAGGCCGTACAAGGCCGTTGAAACGAAGCGGCAGACGGCTTTAAAAGATCTGATTTTTTACCGTGCCTATGCTCAGTAGTCTCACTGGTGGATTTCGGAACGATCTCAGTATTGTTTCTATACCACGACATCGTCAACAATTACATCTTAATACAACCTCCAACTGTCTTATGATATTTGGCCTTCGGATGGGTATAACCTAGCAACTGACAATTAGTTTTCCTGTGGTGGTGATCACAGTCAGTCGCGACTCAACGTCTACTACATGAGTATACCTTGAACTGGATGTTTTGAAGAGTCCTTTC